AGGGCGCAGGTGGACACGGACCCCGCCGGGCGCGCCTCGGGACACAGAGCGGCGGCGAGGGGGCTGCTGCTTGGGGCGGCTGCAGCCGCGAAGGGCCTTAGGGAAGACCTGAGGGGCGCGGCGGTCCGGCCCTGGAGGGGCCTGTTCCGGACCCCGAAGCACGAGGGGCCCCGGGAGGAGGAGGCGGCGGCGGCCGGCCCCGAGTTCCGTGAGTCCCAGGACGAGGTCTGGAAACGGGGGTGGGGGTAGGGGCCGGGGGCGGGGGGCCGGAGGGCCTTGTTCCGACGGTGCCTGGGCAGCTCGGGACGCCGCGGGGAGGAAGTCGGCGAGGACGCACTGGGCACCCGAGGCCATCCTCCTCTGCACCCCCTCTGGGCCGGTTCTCAGCTGCGGATCCACCCCACCCAAGTTTTGGTTCACATTTCTCAGGATGTTTTATCTCAGGTTAAACCTACACGGTGGATGGAAGGAAAGAGTTACTCTTTCAATTTAAGGAAGAATATTTTTAAAGAAATGATTAAGCCCTTTTGCAAATAAGGAAAGAGTTTTATGTGCTGACATCTATATCCTGACTCATGCGCTGATTTATTGTGTGACTTTAAGTCACTTAATCTTTCTGTACTTAAGTGTTTAAAGCATGGAATGGATCATTTATGCTTTGGGAATAAATTTATAGCATAAACTGAGGCTCACTGTTGAAGAGTCTTCAAAAGTTGAGAATGGTACGAAGTCCGTTAACAGGGCGCCCTATCCAGGTCGGCTGGCTGGGATGGCCTCATTGCCTAAAACCCAGCCTTGAGCGCAGAGCACCAGTTCTTCAATATAATGTGCGAGTAGTTCGTTCCTTCATTCATTCACTAGAATATTCATTCTAGAAATATTCTTGAGGGATTACTCTTTGCCAGACAAGTTCTAGAAGTCTGGGATGCAGAGGCACGCCAGCCCTGCTCTCCTGGAGCTCTCGGTTGGCTTGTGGTGGAGTGTTGATAGATGATAAGCAAATGAATAAGATAATTCAAGGTAGTGTTAAGTGCTGTGGGGGTTGTGACCGAGGGTGATGTGACTGGGCCAGCAACCCAGGACGACTTTAGATTTGGTAGTCAAGGCAGACAAGACATTTGAGCAAATCCCTGGATGAACCAGTCATGGGAAGATCGCAAGAGCATGACAAGCAGAGTAGCAGCAAATGCCAGGCAGGGATGAAATAGACACATCTTTGAGAGAGGAGGGGACCAGCCTGGCTGGACATTAGGGAGTGAAGGGGAGAGCAGTGAGGTTGGGGTGTGGGCAGACCTGGCCCAGGCGAGGCCTGGGTGCACTAAGAAAGAAGCTTACATTTGATATTGTCAGTATTTTTTAGTTTAGCCATTCTCATAGGTGTGTATTGGTATCTAGGTGTGATTTTAATTTACATTTCTCTAATGGTTAATGATGTTGAACATCTTTCCATGTGCTTATTTGCCATCTCTATGTCCTTTTTGGTTCCTCTTTGTTCCATTGAAATCTTTTCCCTATTTTTTAATTGGTTTGTTTTCTTACTGTTAAGTTTTGAGAGTTTTTAAAATATATTTTGACTGCAGTTCATTTGTCAGATATGTGATTTGCAAATATAATCCTCCAGTCCATAGTTTGTTTTTTTATTCTCTTAGTAGTGCTGTTCACAGAGCCAAGTTTTAAATTTTGATGAATTCCAATTTATCAGTTTTTTTCTTTTATGGTCATGCTGTGGTTCATGTGTAAGAACTCTTTGCCTAACTGTAGGTTATGAAGTTTTTCTCCTGTGTTTTCTTCTAAAAGTTTTATGTTTTACGTTTTTATCTGTGATCTATTTTGAGTTAACTTTTATATAAGGTATGAAATTTACATCAAGGTTCATATTTTTTTCATCTGAATGTCCAATTTTCAAATACCACTTGTTGAGATGATTATCCTTTCTCCATTGTCAAGGCCTTCAAGCCTTTGTCAAAAATGAATTGGCCATGCTTGTGAAGGTTTATTTCTAGACTCTGTATTTTGTTGCATTGATCTGTGAGTCTATCCCTTTGCCAATACCATGCTGTATTGATTATTGTAGATTTATAATAAAATTAAATAGTGTGACTCCTTCAGCTTTACTCTTTTTCAAAATTGTTTTGGCTATTCTAGTTCCTCTGCCTCTTCGTATAAATTTTAGAATCAGCTTCTTTATAGCTACAAAATATCCTTCTGGCATTTGATTGGATTGCGTTAAATCTATAGATCAATTTGGGGAGAATTGACATCTTTACTATGTTTCATCTTCCGATCCATGGACATGATATATCTTTTCACTTAGTTAAGTATTCTTTGATTTCTTTCATCAGCATTTTGTATTCTTTTGGTATAGAGAAACTGTACAAGTTTTGTTGGATTTATACTTAAGTGTTTTGATTTTTTGATCTATTATAAATGGTATTATTTTTAAAATTTTGTTTTCCATTTGTTGATTGCCAGTGTATAGACATATGATTGATTTTTATGTGTTGATCTTGTATCCTGCAACCTTGCTAAACTCACTTCTTAGTTCTAGAGCTCTTTTGTACATTTCTTTGGATTTTATATGGAGACAATCAAGTTGTCTGCAGCTAGACTGTAGCAGTAGCCCGAGTGTCAGTATTTGTGTCCGTTCTCCAGGGCCCAGTTCCCACAGGGAGATGCAAAGAGTGCCAAGTGACCATAGGTTGTGATACAGAAGAACCTGGTGCTCAGGGAACCCAAATCTTTTGTAATGGGCAGTAAGCATGGGTTACCAGCACTGTCTTACAAGGCTGCAAGCAGCCTGCCCTTTGATCCAGAGGAAGACATTCTCTCTCTCTTCCGACGCAGATCACTATACAATCATCCTTGAAAAGATAGTTCAGAACAAAGGCAGTCAGTGCTTCTGCTTGTAAGATGTGCAGAACCCTGAGAGACCCATGGAGAGTTGTCTCCCGAAACCATGCTGATGGGGTTGCCATCATCTTGTCACCCCTTATATTAGTTTGCTAGGGCTGCCATAATAAAGTAAATAAACTAAACACAGACTGGGTGGCTTAAACAACAAAAATTTATCTCCCGGTTCTTGAGGCTATAAGTCTAAGATCAAGGAGTTGGCAGAGTTAGTTTCTTCTGAGGCCTCTCTCCTTGGCTTGTAGATGGCCGTCTTCTCCCTGTGTCTTCACATGGTTATCCCTCTGTTGTATTTGTATCCAAATTTCCCCTCTTACAAGGACACCAGTCATATTGGATTAGGGCTCCCCCCACAATGACCCCATTTAACTTAATCACCTCTTTAAAGACGCTATTCCCAAATACAGTCACATTTTGAGGTGCTGGGGATTAGGACTTCAGCATATGAATTTGAGGGGACACAATTCAGCTACCACACCCTTACATTTAAACACGTGGCTTCCAAGGTTGACAAGACAGGGGAAGAAAGACCTGGAGGGTGACACAGGGGCTTTTTACTGACTCAGCCCCAAAGTGCCACACCATCGCTTCTGCTTTCAGTCCACTGGACAGATCTCACCTAACTGCGTCCAGGCTGGGATATGTACTTATCCATGGGCTCAGATAGTAAGGACAACCCGATGTTGATGAACGCTAGCAGTGTCGACCTCAGCATGGTTGTATGTTTTTCTCTAGTACTATTTAGCTGTTCAGGTGCAAAAATGGAGCAGATACCAATTGGGTTTAATCTCAGAATTAGGATTCTGACCAACTGGTCTGAGTGGCGAGGGAGGCAAAGGTGTTTGCATGGAAGTGGTTTCAGAGATGGACCATGGACTCTAAACTGGTAGAAGTAAGGACATAAGAGATGAATAATGAGAAAAGATGGTGAGAACAGTGGATTGGAGGACTTGATGAGGTTGCAGAATTTCTGGACTGAGAGAACTAGAGCAGGTGAGCTGAATGGGTGAGAGGTGGTGGTCAGAGAATGAGATTCATGAAGTTGTCAGAGGTAGTGTAGTTTTTGATGATGATCAGGTCAAGAGGGTAACCTGAAATTGGGTGGTGAGCTCAGATGGAAGAAAAGATTATTAGAGGCGAGGGAGTCAGGGAACTGAGAGACCAAGGTGTTGGATTAATCATCTCCTTGGAGTGGAGTTGAAGTCACGGAGTGGAAACAAAAGTGGGGGTAGAAAGGAAGAGCGGGATCCAGGTGATGGGAAGAATGAATGTGTCCACCTCCCATGAAGGTCCTCCCTGGTCTTGGGTTGGAGTTGGGTAGCATTCGAGAGTCTTTGGCAGATATTGGGAACCTACTTGGCAACACGTCTACAAAATCTCTCCTAGGGTCCTTTATATTTGGAGAAGGTCTCTTGCTGATTTCACATCGTTCCAATTCTGGCCTTATCCTCCTATGTTGGGATCGTCTGCTGAGAGCCCTCCAGCTCCCCTACATGACAAAAAAACTCAATAAATTCTGTAATCTCCTCCATGCTAGTTAATAAAACCTGCCATCTGAATGTGAATCTGTGTGTGATATGTAATGTTTGTAGTAGGTGTGAATCTACTTTCATCTCCTTTCCCATAAGTGAGAATAAAACATGTTCATCCCATGCCCATGCCCATGCCTTTGGGCATGTTTATATGGCGGGCTGCATTTTAAGGATTAGTTTCTGCAGGCCTGGCATCTGCACGGGGTTCTGCAGACGACAGTTTTATCTCTGTAAGCTCGTATGGAGCATTGAGCTCCTCCCTGCCTAATCTTGTATAAACATTTTACAAACAACATCCCCTGGGAGTCCGTGGCCACCCTCCAGCTCCTAGAGCCAGATACTAAATTGCTGACTTCAGGGTGGTCCTTGGGAATCATGTTTTGTTTGGGACCATCGTGTTTTGTTTGGGACCAGGAATATTTTTAATGGTGTGAAAACACTTGCAGTGTGAGGAGGAAGTGGAATCTTGATAATACAACTTTATAAAATATCGAAGCAAAGTTCCCATGTCCAGAATAGCGCAATATGAAAGGCTCAAGGCTGCTGTTTCAAGTTTTTAGAGTCACAAGGTTTGCCACATGAGGGTTACTTTCTCTTCATCCCCCTTAAGTTCCCTTAGTCATGCTTGCTTGCTTTCTTGCAGTACTGCCAAATGAGAGAAGCTTCCAGAATGCTGCTAAAAGTAATAATTTGGATCTTATGGAGAAGCTGTTTGAAAAGAAGGTTAATATTAATGCTGTGAACAACGTGAGTAGAAGTCACAAATGTGACAAGTAACTACTCTAAGAATGGCTTGGGTTTATAAATAATAATAAATAAAAATGATTGTGCTGGATGAAATGAAGGAGATCTTCTCTGTTGGTAATTCCAGAGTGTTTAAGCTAAACATGGAATCCAGCAGTGGAATAGGCTCTGGAGGGTTTAATTTATCTTATCAGAGGGGAGGTGTCCAGGGTCTTTATGTGCATCTGTGCAAAGCCTCTGGGTGGGCAGGAAGGCCAACTGTCAAGGTTATGGGGCAGGACTTGGTTCTGGATTGTAGCCTATGGATCACTTTCGCCTCACACGTTCTGGAAAGGCAGAACATCTTGCTACACAATTCATCATTGTTTTCTCTCCAATGATGTCCTTTGTGCTTAGGGCCTTCCAAATTTAAAATCTGAAGGGGAGTATGGGTTTGCATTTTATTGCTTTTGAAATATAGAACATCTGCATGTTGGACAGTGGGCCTTTTCTGAAATCTGGCTCTTACCTACTTGTTCTTCAAGTGCCTGGGTTTGGGGGAGAAGTCCACTGCTAGAAATATGGATGTCCTAACAGCCCCTCAAGGCAGGGTTTATCACAGTGAACAGGTTGGGGGCTGTGTCAGTTGCTCAGGACAGTTTGTGGAGTGGGGATGGCAGAGGTGGATTTAATGCTAAATGAAGCATAAGCTGTAGGGCGCCTATGGTGCAGGCCCCTCCCAGGGCTCTGGGAGGGCTCCAGCAGTGTGTTCCCACACTTTTATGATTTTGTAAAATCCGAAAAAGTAAGAAATTTTAACTGTGATCAGTTAAGCTTTCTGACTCTGGCTTTAAAGAGGGCTCCCTAAAGAGTGTAAACTTCAGGTTCCAGAGAACCTGGATCTGTGCCAGGCCGTGAGGTCATGGAAACTGAAGTTGTGCATCGTGCAGTGGAAGGCTGGTTAGCAGTTGTGCATGTGTGTACGTGAGGGGGTGTGTGTTTATGTGGATGTGGGAATTTAGGTCTGTGTGTCTATTGTGTGTGTGTGTCTGATGTGTTATGGGTGTATACAGTATCTGCTGTCCATAGACATCCTAGAAAGAGTAGAAAAATAGCAAAATTTTGCAGCGTAACAATTTTAGGAACCAATAAATAAATAAATAAATAAAAAGGAAAGGAATCGAGGAAGGAAGGGGGCGAAAAGGAGAGGAATAAGCAAGGACCTTTGAAGGTGATATCTAGACTGTTGAAAAGCAAAGCAACAATCATTTTTCCAAATAGCAGGAAATAGATTCTCCAGTATACTTCTATAAACATTTAAAAATTTTCACATACATACAGCTTTCTGATATTTTAAACCATATGTTTATATTAAAGTACTTGGCAGGCTGTGATCTAGGCCATTTAACCTCCAGTCAATGTGGCAAGTGCTTGTAAATGTGATGAATCGTTTTATACTTTCTAATGACATCTCTTTTAGTTCCGTTCACAGCAAATTGTTGACATGGTTACTTGAGTTCTTTGAAATCTGTGATGATAGAGATGGAAAAAAAATGTAAGAGGTTTTATTGAATTATCTGGCATGCTGTTTTGGCTTGCATCCTTATTCAGAAATAAAGTTAATAGAGGAGTTTAGAGCCCAAATTGGACATGCTAGATCATAGCTCTAGGTTGCAGACGATGTCAAGATAACTCGTGTTTTGTCAAACTTAGTTTATTACCAGTTTAGCTACCAGGAAATCAGACGTTTAAACAGTTCTCATATTTTTGTGATAAATTATTTATGTGAAACAAAGGATAATAAATCCACACCCAGGCACCTTCTTTGGAAGCAAAAACGGTGTCTAGGGTATGGGAAATATGACACGTGTTTTATTTACAAGCAAAACATCCATTGTCTGAAACACTTGAGACTGTCTCTGGACATCCCAGGAGCACCATCTTGGTTTTCCTTTGAAGCAAAAGATATTCATAGCTTTCTTTCTCTGTGTCTCTTTCTTTCTCTTGCTTTCTTTCCTTTGCAATTTATTTGTTTGCTTCACTAAAATTTACAATACAAAAATTACAGAAGAAAGATCATGTATGGATTGAACATCCAACTGTATAGATAGAAGTTTTTGTTATGCATTATCAATGTATTCCTAGCAGAAAAAATTTACCACTATTAATGATTACATATGGCGGAGAATACAACTTTTACTCTAATTGAAATTTGTTATGTTGCTACAATCAATGGTAGGTTATGCAATGGATTTCAGCTTGAGGCATATCCTCCAGTGGATTGCCAAATTCTCTGGTATTATCTGATAATAGATGAAGGCAAGATTGTGTTGGACACAGTTCTCACTACTTGCAAAGGCAAAGGCAAAGAGTAGATAAACAAAATACAAACACCTGGTAGAAAATTATGGCCATTCCAGAAACAGGAAACTTAAAAAGGCTAAATAACAACCAGATGACTGAAAACACAAATTATGTTTTCTCAGATGAACCGCACAGCCCTGCATTTTGCAGTGGGGGCAAATCATTTATCTGCAGTGGATTTCTTGCTTAATCACAAGGCCAGGGTGGATGTTGCTGATAAGGTAAGCTCATCTTCGTTTGGCAGAATGGAGTGGAGCATAACCAACGATTATGGGAAAATCTGGTCACTTTGGTGGTCTTTTCTTCACACACACACACACACACACACACACACACACACACACCCGTATTTCCATTGGCAGTGTTTGTTCCATACTATGTGCTCTTTGTATTTGGTGAATAAATTGTTTACCCATTACCTGTAGGACTCAGGCTTTTACTCACTTTCCCATCTTGACCTTATGGCCAGGAGCATGCATTTGTAAGAATAAGGTCGTTGCCCAGAGTATATTTTGGGACATGGAAGACAGACGCTAACTGGCATCAGGGACATTAAATCTTGACTTTGCCCTGTGAACTCTGATAAATAAGTAAAGCTTATTAAACACATACTATGTACTAGGCACCAGTCTTAGGACTCTGATACTTAGCCCCCCCCCCACCTTGTGAGAAAAGTATTACTATAATACCCAATTTACGGACGAGAAGCCTGAGACACAGCGAGGGTAAATATCATGCCCAACAAATTACATCTAAGAAGGGGTGGAGGCAGGATGTGAACCTGGCTTATCTGATTCCAGAGACCACGCCATTAGCCACAAATCAGCTTAACTCTTTGTCTGTCTAGATATCAGCCCCCCACCCCCGTACCCCCAAGGATTTTCCTAGCTTCATTTAGTACTTTACAATGGCACAAGGAAACCACTTGGGCTGGAGAGACCCAACATCATGTTTGTTATCTCCAGTTGCAGAAAAAGTTGATAGCCTTGGTTTTTAGTTAATCCAGTGGACCATGGTTCTTGGTTCTTGGTTAATCCAATGGACCATGGTTCTGAAAGTTAAACTGTTCAGAAGATTCCCACAGAGCTATTCTATTTTTCTCTCTGGACTGACTCAGCAGTGCTTTACATTCATGTCTCACAGGGGCTGGTTATAGAAAGTGCTTAGTAAATCTTTGGAAGATGAATGAATGAAGTCAGTTCAAAACAATTGGTCAGCTTGTTGGTTTGGTTGGCAATCGTAGACATGGCCTAGACTTGATAATGATGAGTTTCTCTTTGTTTCACCAGTGGGGCACATCTCTCTCTGTCTGTTTTATTGCTCTGGTATTGGTGGGCAAGTAGATTGATACATAACAGAATCAGAATGAAGAAGTACCCTTTTTTCAAAATTGGCACCAGAAACACTCCAAGCTTGTGAGTGTAATAAGTTGTATTATGGTGGTGGTACTTAAGGAACAGCTTGTTTAGGTCTGGAAATTGTTAGGTGATTATTTTGCAACATTAGTTAGCCTGTGAAAGATGCTTTGGTAATAGACTTGATTGCCAAGAGTCTATTGTTCTTTTGTCATTGAAATCCTGATATAATAACTTTTTATTTTACTTTAATTTTTAAATTAACATACTGTGCAGTTAACTTTCTTTTTGGCATACAGTTCTATGAATGTTAACACATGTATAAATTCCTGTAACCACCACCACAATCAAAATATGGAACAGTTACGTCACCCAGAAAATTCTCTCATGCTGCCTCTTTGTAGTCAACCCTCCCCCACCCTGGCAACCACTGATTTCTTCTCCATAATTTTGCCTTTTTGAGAATTCCATACAAAAGATATCATATATATAACTTTTTTTTTTCAGGTTGGTTCTTTTGTTTTTATTGCGGTAACATTGGTTTATAACATAAATTTCAGGTGTATGTCATTATATTTCAATTTCTGTGTAGACTACATCATGTTCACCACCTGGAGATTAATTACAATCCATCACCATACACGTGTGCCTAATCACCCCTTTTGCCTTCCTTCCTCCCCACTCCCCCTCTGGTAGCCATCAATCCAATCTCTGTCTCTGTGTGATTGTTTGTTGTTGTTTTTATCTTCTATTTATGAGTGAGATCATACGGTATTTGACTTTCTCCCTCTGACTTATTTCGCTTAGCATAATAACCTCAAGGTCTGTCCATGTTGTTACAAATGGCCAGATTTCATTGTTTTTTATGGCTGAGTAGTATTCCTTTGTGTATATGTACCACATCTTCTTTATCCATTCTGTCCCTTGATGGGCACCTAGGTTGCTTCCAAGTCTTGGCTGTTGTGAATAATGCTACAGTGAACATAGGGGTGCATAGATCTCTTTGTATTGTTGATTTCATGTTCTTTGGATAAATACCCAGCAGTGGAATAGCTGGATGATATGATAGTTCTCTTCTTCTTCATTTTTTGAGGAATCGCCATACGTTTTCCATAGTGGCCCCACCAGTTTGCACTCCCGCCAGCAGTGTGTGAGTTCCCTTTTCTCCACATCTTCTCCAACACTTGTTATTTCCTGTCTTGTTAATTATAGCCATTCTGACGGGCGTGAGGTGATATCTCATTGTAGTTTTGATTTGCATTTCTCTGATAGTTAATGATGTTGAACATCTTTTCATGTGCCTGTTGGCCATCTGTATATCTTCTTTGGAGAAATGTCTGTTCAGGTCTTTTGCCCATTTTTTAATTGGGTTGTTAGTTTTTTTGTTGTTGAGATGCATGAGTTCTTTATATATTTTGGATATTAACCCCTGATCAGATATACGGTTTAAATATCTTCTCCCAATTGTTAGGTTGTCTTTTCGTTTTGTTGATGGTTTCCTTTGCTGTGCAGAATCTTTTTACTTTGATGTAGTCCCATTTGTTTATTTCTTTCTATTGTTTCCCTTGCCCAGTGAGACGTGGTACTTGAAAATATGTTGCTAAGACCGATGTCGAAGAGCATACTGCCTATGTTTTCTTCTAGAAGTTTCATGGTTTCAGGTCTTACATTCAAGTCTTTAATCCATTTTGAGTTAATTTTTGTGTATGGTGTGAGATAATGGGTATATAACCTTTTGACACTGGCTTCTTTCACTCAGCAAAAGGCCTCTGAGGTTCATCCATGTTGTTGTATGTATCCATAATTCCTCCCTTTTTATTGCTGAATAGTATTCCACTGTATGGATGTACCACAGTTTATTTATCCATTCACCAGTTGAAGGACATTAGAGTTGTTTCCAGTTTTTGACTATTACAAATAAAGCTGCTATAAACATTTGTGTACAGTATTTGTGTAAGCATAAGTTTTCATTTCTCTAGTGTAAATACCTAGATTACTAGGTCGTATAGTAAGCTATATACAAGAAGCTGCCAGACAGTTTTTTAGAGTGGCTGTGCCATTTGCATTCCCACCAGCAATGTAGCAGAGTTCCATTTGTTCCACATCCTCATCAGCACTTGATATTGTCATTTTTTCCCCTTGATTTTAACCAGTTTAGTAGGTTTGTATGGGCATCTCATTGTGGTTTAATTTGCATTTCTTTAATGACTAATGATATCAAGTATTTTTTCTCGTGTTACTGAGCATCTGTATGTCTTCTTTGGTGAAGTGTTTATTCAAATCTTTTGAACATTTTTTTTTTTTTAAAGTTGGGTTGTTTGTTTTCTTATTGTTGAATTTTGAGAGTTCTTTATATATTCTGGACACAAGTCCTTTGTTAGATATCTGATTTGCAAATATTTTCTCACATTCTGTAGCTTATCTTTTTAGTGTTTTTCACAGAGCAGAAGTTTTTAATTTTGATGAAGTACAATTTACTTATGTTTTAAAAATGAATCTGCCTATTGGTGTTATATCTGTGAATGATTTGCCTAACTTAAGGTCATGAAGATTTTCTCATATTTTTCTTCTAAAGCTTTTATAGACTTGTGTTTTACATTTAGATCTGTTGTCCATTTTGAGTTAAGTATAAGGTATGAGGAGTAGGTCTAGGTGTTTTTTTCCTTGTGTATGGATGACCAGTTTCTTCAACACCATTTTACACCGGTGTCACTTCAGTTTTCAGCACCTTTGCAGTGCTATTTGGACCTGTCCTACATGTGCGCCATCCAGGGGCCAGTCTGAGACCTGGGTGGTGGTCTACTCCCTAGTTCAGTTCTCAAGCCTTTGTGATGCTGTTTATGGTCAGGTTTGTGTGCAGGTCAGGGGTGAGGTCAGGTAAGCATACTCAACTTCATGGGATCCCTTTCTTGAGCTCCCACCTCTCCAAGATGACCACCACCGCCCCAGTCTCTAGCTCCAAGGCCCTTCCCCTTTTCCTGGTCAAGGGTATAGACTCCCAGCTTGGCTGTGTGTGTCCCACAGTTAGGTTGCCTCTAGGACTGAGAGAGGGGAGAAACCAACACGGGTCTCCCACCCCCTCTTCTGACCACAGTTCCTCTGGGTGGAGAGGAGTCCTGTCGGAGTTCAGGTGCTGCCCAGTTGCTGCTGCTACCCCTCCCCCCGCAGGTTACAGCTTTGGGAGTGAGGCGTGCCTGGGCCAGGGCCAGAAGAGAAGAAAGACGCAGGATCTCCCCTACCCGCTCCCTCCTGTAGAGTCCCCCTCCGCTCCTTAGGCCAGAAAGAGAGGGCTGCTCTTGGAGCTCTTTCTGCCGTGCCCAGGGCCCAGTGCTGTGATTTGCACTGCCTTGAGTGCAAGCTGGAAGGTAAGAAAGAAAAAACAAAAAATCGGGAGACCCCAACTGTTTATATTTTGAGTTCTGGTTTTCTTCCCCAGTCTACCTGCTACCATTTACCCTTCAGAGTCCTCACCTAGCTGCACCATGCATTCTGTCCAGAGACTTTAGTTGCATTTGGTGAGAGAGACAGAGTGGAGTGTACTTATTCCGTCTTACCCAGGGCTGTAACCCCAAATCTTTAACGTGCCGTAAAAGTGGAGAGAATTGTACAATAAACACTTTTGTATCCATTGCCCAGGCTGAATAGCATCTTTTCTTTTAAACAGCATGTCTGAGGATTGCCATGTTTCAAAGTATTAAATACACTACTGGTTTATGTCAGAGTGTAAGACATTTATTCCAGAAATGATGAAGAGATGTTTTACCAACTTGTTCTGTTGGAGACTTTTCCAAACATACATTTGGAACTCGCATCAGCTTCTTGTAACTTTGCCTTGTGAGACTGAAATGCTGTCAGGTGGGAAATATAGTAATTCCTGATGTATCTCTGTATCCTGCCTTGAAAGTTTCACTAAGTTAAATATTTCCATAACTAACTTAATTATTCACAGTGCATTAGTACATAACTAATAAAGTGCTTTTTGTAATCAAGCAATGCCATGTTTGGTCAGACCTGGCTGCTTCTTGATCTGGGTGATGAGCCCTAAGTTTGACTTGGCAGCTCTGTCTTCTAAGTTCTGACACCTATTTGCAAAGAGCCAACAGCTGAACCCCTTCACTATCAGTATTTATTCCGTGCCTGATGCGGGCAAGTCTCAATGCCCACTACCGGGGATTCGACTAGATATAAGGTCTTGCTGCTCAAAATGTGGTCCTAGGACCAAAGCACTGGCATTACCTGGGATCTTGTTAGAAATGCAGAATCTTGGGCCCCACCCCAGACCTCCTGAATCAGAATCTGCAAGTTAGCAAGATCCCCAGGTGATCATGTCAGGAAGCACTGGCACGAGATACAGTCCCTGCTTTGAGGGGCCTACAGTCTCTCGGGGGAACAAGGACCGAGACTGTAACAGATGGGTACCTCAAGGCCTTGCATGCTGAGGATCAGATGCATGGCCCAGACACTGAGGACTCCAGGTTTAAAGTGGGGGGCATCCCTGAATCTTGGGAAGAGGCAGACTACGTAAATGGAGGCTCCTACTCCAGAGGTGAACAAAAGATCCTGGGTGGAGCTCAGGTGGTGCTCAGAGGATAATGACAAGCATCTGCTCTCAGAGCTTCCTATCTCGGGAAGCTCCTCCAGTTCAAGTGTTCCCCCGGGGAAGTCATTGACCTTCTCACCTGTGACCAGACTGGTGATGAGGACAGGTTGTCACTGTCTGTGGGCGTTTTACACTTTACAGTCTCATGTACCGACTGTGAGTGTGATCCATGACACATGCTTCTGAACTGTCTCAGGCATGTCAGTTTCATGTCAGAAAACTTGGTTTTATGAAGGTTCTTTTGGAGGATTTACATCTCTGAGCAGTGATTCTTTGCCTCTGAGGAACGATGGGTCTGCTCAGAATTTATGGTTTCAGAGACTCAGGTTGTTCACAGCTTGATTTCCTGGCTTTTGGATTTTATGATCAGTGTTTGAAATCTTTAACTGTTGGCTGCTTTGAAGTTAGAAATGACCTCTTAGGGAGAAAGAGAGCTCCTATCAAAATGTGATTTATCATCTATCCCAGGTATTTCCGGCCTCTTTTTTTGACCATGTGTGAAACTGGATTTAGTATTATTGAATATGGAGCATTGATTTGTAGAGAAGGCTAGATTAATGGGTGGAACTGTGTTTAGGGCCCATTTCTTGAAGAACCTCAGCTAGTTATTGTACGTCATTGTTCCTTGGGAAAAAGAGTGCAGACATTGGCAAGCATTGTCTTCATACTGAAATTGTAAATATATAAGTAGACTTACACAGACTAACTCCCCATGTAGTGTGACAGCTGAAATGTAAATTTTATAGGGTATGTGCATTTAGAGCAGGGTTTCTCAACAGTGGCACTATGACTTTTGGTCAGGTGATCTATTGTTGTGGGGGCTGTTTGGGATTGTAGGATGTTTTGCAGTATCTCTGGCCTCTACCTGCTAAATACTAATGTCTCCCTTCAGTCTCGACAATCAGGTGTCTCCAGACATCTCCAAATGTGCCCTGGGGGCAGTTGAGAACCACTGATCTAGAGTTAATTTCAATAATCTGGAGCTTTATACTGAACTTGGCTGAGAATAAGAGAATACATTAATGCGGTTTCTGGGGCAGCCAAAATCAATGCCAAAAGGCTTATGCACTTTACAAATGGAAGTGCCCCACAGATCTCATTCCTTGTTTATTTCTTCATCCTCTATGTATCTAGCAAACCGGTTTCCTGGATCACAAACAACTGTCGATGAGGAGAGGCAGATAGGATGTGCTGAGAAGGCTTACTGTTGGAAGGCACTTTTACAGAGGAAATGGATGATTTTTTTACAGGAATAAAAGGAAACAGAGAAGCAGACACATGAACTTAGAGATAAGGAAGCTGAGGCTGAGAGTTAACTAAGTTGACTGAGATAACAGTGCTTGAGGGGGTCGAGCCAGAATTGGAGGTCCGTTTCGTTCAGTTCTACGGTCATGCTCATGGTGTCTGCTCTATGTTGCTTCTCTAACTTGGGGCCTAGAACACAGGTCCCAGTTTCTCCCAGCTTACCGCCCTCCAGTCCCACCCTCCTGAGACAGCCAGTGCCGACTGCCGCTGTCGCCTCTCACACTTTCTCCCTGCTCGTTCAGTACACGAGGAGGCTGACTGCCTGCAGCATCAGTCCACGTCAACAGGGCCTGCTCGGAATCTCTCTTTCAGTTTATTTTGTGCATGTGTGCGTGCGCACGCACACACACACACATATAATTTTATAGAGAGAGAATATTTTAAATAACTTACATATAAATAGGATTCTTTTTATAACTTCAGTCTTTTCTGTTTTTTTCTTTTTTGTTTACCTTCCCCTTCTCCAGTAACTACGTTTAACAACGTGGGGGTATGTGTGTTTATTTCTGTACTTTTCCTCATGCTTATATAATCACATCCATATCGGTATCTATCAATCTCTCTACCTACTTACCCACCTAGAGATAGAGAGAGATATATACATATACACATGAGTTTTTTGGTTGTTGCTTATTTTATAAAAATGGGATTATCAGATAAAAACTAGACTATTGGTGGTGAGCACAATGCAGCCTATACAGAAACTGAAATATAATAGTGTACACCTGAAATTTATACAATGTTAAAAGCCAGTATGACCTCAATAAAATAAAAAAAAAAATGGGGTTATATTTTTTCTGCATGTTATTTTCCACATTTAACAGCTAGCTCATGGGGCCAGCCCCGTGGCTTAGCGGTTAAGTGCGTGCGCTCCGCTGCTAGTGGCCTGGGTTCGGATCCCGGGCGCGCACCGACGCACCGCTTCTCCGGCCATGCTGAGGCCGCGTCCCACGTACAGCAACTAGAAGGATGTGCAACTATGACATACAACTATCTACTGGGGCTTTGGGGGGAAAATAAATAAATAAATCTTTAAAAAAAAAAACAGCTAGCTCGTGGAAATCTCTCCAAGTCAATTGTTATAGCTCTAATTCATTATTTTGAATGGCTGCATGATATGGTATGACTTTTCCCTAATTCGTTCAACAATCCTATATTGATAGAGATGTACCTTGCTCCCAGCTTTAAGAGTTGACAATTAATATCCTTGTTTATATAACATGAGGTCCTAAAACTTATTTTCATGGGATAGATTCCCAGGAGTGGGATTGCTGGTTGTATTTAAAGTTTTAATAGATATTGCCACATTGCTTAAACTATAATGCTTTCGTTTCCACTAATACCTTAAGCGAGCACCTTTTTTGGTCCATTTTTCAATTGGTTTAATTGCCTTTTTCTTGTTGATTTGTAAGAGTGCTTCATGTATTAGAGAAAGGAACCATTTATCTTTATTGATACATTTAAAAAAATCTATCATTTGTTTATCGTCAGTCTTTCCTTTTATAACTTCTGGATTAAGACACTGTACATTATAGTCTAGATTTTCTTCTAATATATTTATTGTTTGTATACTTTTTTGTGTGTATGATATGAATAGGATTTACGTATATTTTCTTTCAGATGGAGAACCACTTGCGCCTGCACCACTTATTAAATATCTTCATTTTCCCCATCGAATTGAAATACCACCTTTGCTGTGTATTAAATTCTCTTCCTATTTCTTAATTTTTAACAGTTGAGTATAAACTTGGCTTTTTGTTGACTATAGTGTGTTGTGGCTCATCCAAGTGATGGATTCTTTTTTGCTCTCTTCTTGGGGAAGCATGGCTTGACAGTAATTCACCTTGCCTCCTGGTCTGGAAGCCTTGAGATCATGCTCATGCTGGTTAGAGCTGGCGCAGACCAGAGAGCCAAGAGTCAGGTAGGTGTTTGGGTCACACCTGGACCCACGTGAGCTCTCAGCTCACTAGTGCAGGAGGGGGAGGTCCTGAGATGGCTGTGTAATCATCTCCCCACCCGCCTCTCTTCAGGATGGAATGAATGCCCTCCACTTTGCAGCTCAGAGCAATAGTGTGCGCATCGTGGAGTACCTCATTCAAGATCTACACCTGAAGGACCTGGACCAGCCTGATGAGGTGTGTTTCCTGTGGTAGGACATCTCGCATGCACCTCTTCCAAATTCCGCTTTTTCCTGCCCCTGCTGGAGCTGCCAAAGCAGCCAGCACAGACAGACCCGGCCCTATAGCCAGCTCCTCCATCACTCTGGCAGACAGACCACGGGGCAGAAGGGAAGTGTTGGTGTTGGCGGTGGCCCTGGCACCTGACGTGGTATTGAAGCAGCTGGATTCCTGCTTCCTTCTCTTCTCTCTCATCCCGGGCAGGATGTCAGTATCCACACCCTCTTTGGTTTTCAGAATAGGTGCCTGCATTTTACTCTCTGTGCCTGGCCTTTTGGGAATGTATTTGACCCAAAGCTCTGCAGTAATGAGCCATGGAATATGATGCAATTTTACCATATTTGTCCATATTCCTTTTCTTTTGTTAAAGAGATGTATAATAATAACAGCTACCATTTGTTGAGGACTTCTAAGTATTCTCGGAACCGTAAGTGGCTTTGCCATAAACATCTTTGCTGCAAGCCTCTTTGCTACAAGCATTTTTGCTGCATAACTAATTGGGTGTAAAGTGATTTTGCTTTAAATGTCTTTGCTGTAAAAAAAGATAAAATAACAAAAAATAAAATAAAATTAATAACATTAAAAAGAGTTTATTGTGAGAAAAGAAAATACAAAAACACTTGAATACATGTAAAATGTGCGTAGATTCATGGCAAATACTGCACAGATCACTGATTTTATTTTGTGGATTGTACCTAAGCACTTGTCTTCCAAGTCTTTTGTTCATAGTATTATATATATATATTTTTTGGCCTATTGATTCATTGTCCTCATTCGGCATCACACTTTTTTCTTTTTTGCTCAAATTTCTTCCTTATTAAGAGAGAGAGCAGTTTCCAAATGCTAGGATGCGCCTTTGTAACTGGGCTTTGTATTGCCATGTGAAGGATTTGCAAACTGATATGTTATCATTCTCTAGTATGGTATGCAATCTTGGTTTACACCAAAATGAAACCAAACTGTCAACCGATTATTTTATCTTTTTTTAATGGCAAAATTGCCTTATGGCCAATTAGTTATGTGACGAAAATGCTTGTGGCAAAGACGTTTATTGCAAAGCTACTTACGGTGAAAATACTGGTCACGTTATTGAGTATTTATTAGTGTGCTATGTACAGAGGAAAGCTATTTACATACGTTAGTTCAGTGAGAGGTCTAGGGCCTGGCACATACGGATGCTTAACAAACCAATGCTGAATGAATGAATTATCCTGTAAACCCACAATAACCCTATAAAGAAGGGAATATTTTGCTTATTTTTAAAGGTGAAGAAGTCGAGGCTCAGAGAGGCTAAGTCCCTGGTCTAAAGTCCCCAAACTGGACAGTGACAGAGCTAGGATTTGAATTCAGGTCTGGCTGACTCCAGTCTGCATGCCGTACTGTCTCCCTTCTCAGATGACAGGGCCATTGCACGTGTGCTGGGGACTGTCTTCTCCTTGCAATAGCTCCTTCTGGTCGTTTTTCATAGGGTAATATCCTTTGTGGGGCTGGCATTTTGATTTCAGATAGAACCTCCTTTTCGCTGTGCCTCTAGAACATTATTCTCCATTAAAGTCTTTCTAGAAGTCAATCAGTAATATTCACTTCATTTCACCTCTTCTAAAAAACTTTCCCATTTTTTCCTGACCTCAGTCTTAAAAACAATGAAAACGAAAATTATTTCTCCAAATGAAGTCTATAAATTCCTTTTACTTCTCTTAGTATGACTGAGCAGCTCTACATTTACAGCTTGGAGGCAGACAGACTTGGGCTGTGGTCTGGGCGAATATTAGCTCTGTGGTTCTAGCAAGTTCTCCAACTGCTGAAAGCCTCAGTACCTCCATCACCTCCTTTCTTTGATATAGATGATTGATATTTCCTCAGTCTTATATAGAAGTGCCTATGCCAAGGAGCTGCATGGTAAGCCATTCCAGCACCCCTTTCCCATCAGACACCACCCCGCAGACATTCTTATGTAGCAGTGTTGGCATAGGCACTCTTGGGATGCTTAAATGGATTAAGGACGATGAGGCACTTAGTAAAGACCCTGGCACATGGTAAGTGCTCACTAAATAGTAGTCGTTCTAATGATTATTATAGGATAAATGTATTATCTGATTTTTCTCAAACTGATAATCATGGGCAAATAGCATCTAGTGTCAAGGTGAGGAAGTTGGATCATTTCCAGTTTGATGTTAAGTAGGGATGCGACCTATGAATGAATTCAGTTGGGGAGGAAAAATTTTCCTCTACTCTTCAGAGGTTCTTTCAGCTGGTCTGATAATTAAAATGACGTGAGACAGATTAACAGGAGAAAAACAAATGTAATTTCATACGTATGGGAACCCCACGTACATGAGAAATTCCAAAACAGAGAGGTAAAATGAGGTATGCATATGCCATCTTGAGCCAACGAATGGGCTAGGGGCCTGGGCTTCAGAGGGGAGGAGGGTAATTCATAAGATGATAAGGAGAGCAGATGTTCAGAAATTAAATGTTTGCTCTGCCATACAGATAGGTCATACAAATTTATTTGTGATAATAACTCTTATTATTGGCAAGGCCCCCAATTTAAATTCTTTATGGGAGAGGTAAAAGTTTCTCTTGAGCCCTCAGGGTCTTGATTGCCTTTAGCTCAAAATAATCCACAGGCCAAAGTAGCCCACCTTGAGGAGGCTGTTCTGAACCCCTTCAATTCCATTCAGTTCAATTCAGTAGATATTTGTTCAGGGCCTGTTCTGTGTGAGACACACGACTGTCTCCCCTTTCAGGGGGCTCTGGCCGCTTTCACTGGAGACAGCAGTGTGTGGGGAGGATCAGGCAGGCTGAAGGGGCTTGAAGACCAGAGCAGATTTGCGGGGAGACTTCCTCACCTCTGGAGCTTCTACTGGCCAGTAGCCTTCCTGTTCGTCATCTCTTCTCAGCTGGCTCCGGGCTTGTCCTGTCCCACCGTTCTTCCTCTTCCTCTGACTCTCTGACAGGGAAGAGGCTGAGGAGCCCTGAAAGACTGCTCAGAGCCATATGTCCAGCAAAGAGATCTTAAAATTCAGATGGGTTCAGAGGCTCAGAGGCGTATGAAGAATGAGCAAATAACGAGTCCACTGGGCTGTCTAGGGAGAGAAGAATCTCTGAGTCCGATTTTAGTTCTCTAAGAAACCTGGCAAACAAAGTCTACTCTTTTTCTGCGATCTCTGAATGGGGTCAAGGATATCGGCAAAACCAGTAGGAACTGGGATTGGGAGCTCCGGGTCTATTAATTCATCACTGGGTTTTCCATCTGTGTTTGCTTAAAGTTATAGTGGAGCTCATGAAATGCATTTGATGAGAAAGGCTGCTGGCTGCCTTCACAATGGGCCCTCTCGCCTAGTCTGTTATCAACAGAAAGTGATTGAGAGCCTGTTCACCTGCCCAGGGTTGGGAAAGTCCTTCTTTCAGCCTGGAGGGAACTCCAAAAGCTAACAAGGAGAGCCTTACTGGGAGGAGGTCTGTATTGATAAACTGGACTTACCTAGGCCCAGAAGAGTTTGGGTGGGGATGGGCGAGATGGAGGATACAGGGAAATATGTTGAGGTTCCTCCCAGCTCCATAGTTCTAGAAATCATGTAGCCTCTCCAGACGAGAGAGGTTAGAGCAGCCTGAAGTTATGGGTAAAGTTGCCTAGATATTTTGAATCTACATGTAAACACCTACCTAGTGATCAAAAATAATTACTCAGATTAGAATGTTTAGAGAGGGAGGGACACAGAAAGGAATAGCCTCAGAGGCCATTCATATGTTTGTTGAATATTTACAAGCGTTTGGTGGTACGATGGTAGGTTGGTTTCAGCTGCAGATATAGGGGAGCTTCCATTGGTTTAAAGGAATCTATGTAGTAGCCTCTAGAGGTCAAAATGTAAAGAAGCTTCTTTTATTGGAGGGCCAGGAATAATGAGCACGAGGGGATTTGAGAAGACATAGTTTCTTATATGCACCTGAGGCCCACATTTACAGCCTTAGATTTCATCAGAACTTTCGACTTCAGTGTGTAAGGGGAGGTCTAACCCGGGGCCCCACCCACACCAGCCCCACGCCTTCCTGTCCCAGGCGCTGCTCTTCAGCACTCACACCTCCTGGCAATGTTCCTTTTCGCTCTCAAATCTCTAGTCAGTCAGAGACCTGCTGGTTTTCCCCTTTTGCTGGGGTTCTGCTGTGAATTCCTGATTCCCAGGTGAGGGGAAACGTGGGGTGTAGACGTGCACAGGAGGCACTGGGGGGTTTGTGCTGGGTTCTACCTGGCCCCCTCTCCTCAGAGGCTCTCCAGGACGCCATCTCTGGGATCCCTGTGGGAAAGGATGGTCAGGTTGGCCTGTGGGTGCTCATTTAATGGCCGTTTATGGAATTTTTGCTGAATTTGGTAACTTGTCAAATTTGATAACCCTGAAAGTAAACTTAAAAATGAAAAATGATTTCTAATAAAGAATTGCAACTCCTCAGACTTATTCACATGCAAAAAATTTAAATGTATTAAGTTAAAGCATATTAGGTTAAATACACATTAAGTTAATAAAGGAAAAAGGGAGCAAGAATTCTGGACCCTCCTTGTTTTTGTTCATTAGGGAAGGGAATCAGGGTCCTGAGCGTGGAAGGCATGGTGATTTGTGTGGGGCCTGAAGCCTGAGGCTCTGACTCCAAGCTCCACTGTCCTCTTGGCTGGAAAAATCTCCCTGTCTTCCAAGTGAGGGCAGTTACGAGACTGCATTGGACAGAGACCTACTTGAACATAATTAAAAAGGGTTGGGTGGTTAAAAAATGAAATAAGACATGATAAGAAACTATATTTTTTTAAAAAATGCATATTTTTGAAATTCCTTTTGCTATTTGGCCTAATGTGTACTAGAGATCGGAGAAAAATTTATATCTCGTTTTGCTTTCACCTCATCTTTCTTCATGCTACCTTTTGATATATTTATAAGAGATAGACTGCTTTAAATGTCCTTATTTTGTGTAATTTGGCTTTCACATTTTTTTTTTCTTGATGCTAACATTTTTAAAGGGCATCCAAAGTTTAAAGTAATAGCTGTTTTCCTCGTGGGGAAAGACATTTCATCTGTGATAACCTACCATTCCTTACCAGACTAGGCTTTCTTTGTGGGTGGATCCTCGGTCACTTTGTTTAGCCACGCAGAATACAAGGCTTTGTAGCAACCACAGGTGAAAGACTAAGGCCATATTAAAGTTGAACAGACCCCTGGTACTTCTAGCAGTGTTTGTCCCCAAGCTGCTAAATATGTAGTAGTTAGAATCCTTTGTTATGAGTGACAAAAATCCAGCTTAATCTAGATTAAGCAATAACAGTAATTTTTAAACTTCTAACTAAAGTGTTTGAGGGTGTATCTGGCTGGCTTCAGGCATGGCTGGATCTGGCTCTTTTTTTTCCCTCCAGCTCTTGGCTGCCTGTGTGTTGGCGTTATTGATAGGCATGCTCGTCACATGGTGGGAAAGATGGCTGCTAGCAGCCTCAAGTTTATATTCTTATGGATATTCTTTTTTGTGTGTATGAGGAAGATCGGCCCTGAGTTAACATCTGCCAATTCTCCTGTTTTTTTTGTTTTGTTTTTTTGCTGAGGAAGACTGGCCCTGGGCTAACATCCCTGCCCATCTTCCTCTACTTTACATGGGACGCTGCCACAGCATGGCTTGATAAGTGGTGTGTCACTGCACGCCTGGGATCCGAACCAGTGAACCCCGGGCTGCCACAGCGGAGCACGCACACTTAACTGCTTGTGCCACCAGGCTGGCCCCCTTATGGATATGCTTATAGATTTTGATTCATAAGAAAGAAAATGCCTCTCTCATCCAATGTTCATATATAAATCTCAAGAACAACTCTGGCCCTGCCTGAATCATGTGCCCAGCCCTGAACCAGTCGCTCTAATGACATGGGTGATGTGATCACTTCCTGGGGCAGGTAAAGCCTGGCAGTGGACAACCACATGGACTAAATGGCAGGTGTATGTGCACCTGGGGGGTTCCCCAAAGGAAAAGTGAAGTGCTGCTACTAGAAGAAAGAAATGGAGAGACGCAACCACGGTGTCCACTCTGGGACACAGTCCCTCGTGTTTTATTTTTGGTCTCTGTGGGTGAAGGGTGAACAAACCCCTTTTCCTTCTGCATGAGAATTTAAACTTTGGTTAACTTTCTGACTTTGAGTCCCTGCAAACAAGATAAAGATACAATATTAACTGTTACTAAGCAGTATTGTTTATGATAAAAATGACCTATAATTGGTACCTTGCATCTGGACCTGGAGGGACTACAGATGGACTATAAATACTAGAGGGCGAGCCATACTTTGGGGTTCTCTGAGTGCAGGGACTCCTGTAACCAACTCTCATGTCCCTTGTGGGGCCCTGGAAGCTAAGCCCAAGGAGTTGTTACAAGAGACGTTTGTTCCTGCGGGGCACCAGCCTTCTAAGCCAGGGTGGCACCACACCTGCCCAGTGTGGATCTTGTCACCTTGCAACTGAGCTGTCACCTTGGGGGCCCAAGACAACAGCTCCTGGACAGCGTGGGGAGCATGGTAGGACAAGGAACAGCTGACACGGACGAGCTGCAGTTGGTGTCCTGCGTCTTCTGAGTAGGCTGGTGTCGGGTGTGGCCTGAGATAATTTTGTGAGTCTGAAATGTTTAGTTGAACGTAAAAAGATGCCCTAGTGGGCATTGGAATCACTCTCGTAATTCTGTGAGATGGGGCAGTTGCTTTAAGGAAGCCCTGCTAGTGAAAGGTGACAGAAGCTCAACTCAAACTACTTAAAAAAAAAAAAAGGAATTTATTAACTTATTCAATTAAAAACTTCAGGCATGGGTAACTTCAGGTATGAGTAAATCCAGGAGCTCAAATGACATCAGCAGGGCTGTCTCTTTCTCCAGTTGCCAGCTCTGCTTTCCACTGTGCTGGCTTCATTCTTAGGCAGGGTCTCCTTATCAGATGGCCAAGAGAGCTACTGACAGCTTAGCTGATGACTCTAGAGTAAAGATAGACCGTGCCAGAAAAAGCCCACGGTTGACTGCGATTGGCCTGGCTTGGCATGTGACCGTCCCTGACCCAAACACTGACCAAGGGGAAGATGGTGGACGAGGCAGGAGCCTGTAGTTGACAGCCCCACAAAAACGCTGCGCCGGGGCTGTTCTCCAGCGGAAAAGCCGGTGGGCAGGAGACAGGTCACCTGTGCTCTTTTGTCCTGTTCCAGTGCATTCACAACCTTGAAAGGCCTGCTTCCTCCTTTTCTTGTCACCTCCCTCCCCAGCCGCACGCACAGGCTGGTGCTGAGTTATGTACCGCTGTAAGTCACCAGCACTCAGTCACTGCATTTCATTATGCTTACTTGTTATGTGTCTGTCTTCCCTGTTGCACTCTGAGCTTCTCAAGGATGGGGCAGTATACTCTCATCTCTCGCTTAGCACAATATCTGGCATATTCATAGGTGCTCAATAATTGTAGAATAAGTGAATGAATGATGGATAAAGATGTGTGTAAATGTTTTCATCTAGTATCTAATCAGTGCCTTTCATCCCCGTTTTGGTGATTTGTTTGTGTGGACCTTTATCTGTTGTCACCATTTGCAGATGTTTGTATCAACTAGACACAATTTTTGGTCTCTCATTTCCAAAGAGTTGTTTGTGGCTCAGGACTAGATTTTGCTCTTAGTTAGATCTAACTTGCAGTCAGAAAACAGAGGGCCCAAGCCCTTCCTTTTGCCCTTCCTTAGTGATTTAATGAGAATGACAACAAGAGTCAGGCCTGCAGACTCTGAGGGGTGGGAGCTGTAGGCCTCATTGGCAACATATCTGGCTCAGGAATGATGAATTAGGTGCCACCCTGTTTCTCTGGCTTCTGTACATGCATGAATACAGAGCTCCACGTGGCTGATCCTTGTCAACATTTTTTTTTCCATTTATTATTTCAGCATTTTTCCTTCCTTTTTCTTCCACTTATTGGGGAATCATGAGCTGTTATCTCAAGTTAACAGTGACCATGATCTTTTCTTTACCGCGTTAGTAGGAGATCAGATGATAAATCGCAGAATCAGGAACCTTCTTACAAAGAGGCTCGTTGTGTCTTGTTTTTTGTATTTCAAACATCTCGCTAAGCTTTTGGTTGATAACACACCAAGCCAATTTGTGAGTGTTTTCTTTAATTGAAGAAAATGCTTCTGCCTCTATTTTGCCACCCTGACATCCTTTTCCTCCTTTTAAATGTCTTGAGTTAGAAAATTAAGTTCTCTATTGGGCTTCCATTTTTCTTGATGACATTTTGGCTATTGCGAGTGCAGTCTCCACCGGCAGCGTGAAAAGTTGGAGAAATGAGCATAATGAGAAGATTCTACGTTTGAACTTTCCTTCCGCACCAAGTGCATATGAACATCCCCCTTAAGTGATGTTCTCTGGGTGATGCCAAGTTTCTCCATTCCATTTCATAAAGACCTGTTCTCAAGAGTTTTCCTGTTGATTCTTAGTGAACGTTGGAGGTAAATACATGAGCAAGCCCGGAAGGCCTACGCAGAAGCAGTGGATGAAATATCATTTCTGAAGCAGCCATGTAAACATTCAGCCTGGAGAATTTCTGTTCAGACCTTTTTATCGGCAAGGCAAGGCTTAGTGTGTGACGCGCAGGTGCCTGAGACAGGGTCTGGCACATCACAGCTTCTCAATAAATAGTGGAGTGAAAGAACTAGTCAGTAAACACAGAAAGTAGGTAAAACTGCTACATTTGAAAGGGACTCTCGTTGTCTGGCTGTGAGGTGGCGCCTTCCCAGGTGCTTAGGAGGACCATTTCTGGACAGGACTTTTCTGCCCCCGTAACAATGATTCCGTGCTGGTGTGGAGTCCCCACAGCTGTGGGCAACAGCTCAGAGCTGGATCTGGTTGGGAGTCAGAAAGATTGATATCACCTTCCCCTAAGAAGGGCCTGGAAAAGTATGACCAGAAGCACCGCCTTGGCCTCCTCGTCACCCCCAAAATGCCACCTGCCTTGTCGGTTGTCTTGCTTGTTCAATAAGCGTGTAATAAATGCTGGAGGTTTGTGATTGATTTCCAGAAAGGAAGAAAACCATTTCTTTTGGCAGCTGAGAGGGGCTACGTTGAGATGATAGAAAAACTGACCTTCCTTAATCTGCATTCTTCAGAAAAGGACAAGGTAAGTTGGACTTTTATTTCTTTGCTGAGAACGAGAGGAAGGGGAGTGACCGTTGGTGTGTGGATTTGGGGAAGGCATCTGGGTCAGGAGCAGAGTTGTTCAGTTGTTACTACAGTCAGAATCATGGAATGTCCAGATGGAATGGACCCACTTTTGCAGTGGATTGTCCAGAATGCCAGTTTTCCCTCTATAAATGTTTGTGAAGTCAATTGACTGCGTGGATTTTTCCACTGTCAACTGCAGGCCTCTCTTTTCTTCCCCTGAGGTCTGCTGGAGACTCAGCCCCACCTGACTAGGGAGGGAAACCCCAGTGAACATCCAGATCTATGTGCACATCGTTGATTTTGTGTGTGTGTGTGTGAGGAAGATTGGCCCTGAGCTAACATCTGTTGCCAGTCTTCCTCTATTTTTGTATGTGGGATGTTGCCACAGTATGGCTTGACGAGCAGCGTGTAGGTCTGCTCCCGGGATCCAAACCCATGGACCTTGGGCCACTGAAGTGGAGCGCACAAACTTAACCACTATGCCACCAGGCCGGCCCCCATCTTTGATTATTTTTTTAGGAGAAATTCCTAGATGGGGAATTGTGAGTCAAAGAGTTCTGCACATTTTAAAATCTTTTGGTATACGTTGCTAAAACTAACCCCCAGAAATCTTTCACCAGTTTAGCTTCACCTAGGTTATCTGGAATTACTTTTATTGTCCACTTTTTGATAGCAAATTAGCTGCCAAGGTAGAACAAGGAGCATGGGCGGTTTTTTTGTACTGGCACAAACAGCTGTGTCTTTTCATTTAGAACTTTAAAAAATTATAAATTTCACTTGAAACTGTGGGTAACATTGCTCACACTCTGAACCACAACTTTAGCCAAAATGAAACCTCCCAGAAGCCCCACCGCAGCCCTGACCTTTGGAGGGGTGTGTTGCTCAGTGCAGGGACTCGACCGTGAACGTCTCTGTTGCAGGAGGGGAACACCGCCCTGCACCTCGCAGCGAAGCATGGTCACAGCTCTGCGGTCCGGGTGCTGCTAACCCAGTGGCAAGAAATAAATGAGACCAATGAGGTACGTGGAGGTGCTCATGACAGGTGGGCCCAGGATTCAAAAGCAGAAGGGTGCAAGAAATGGCTTTAAGGAGGGAATGGGAGGAAAAGAAAGATGTTAAGTGCCACAGGGTGTAAAATGTGAGATGAAAAGATTCCTACTTTTTTCTTTAAAGTGTCCCACTGCACATCATTTGTTAATCCATTTATTTATTCACCCACTCACTCAAAAAATTTAGTATGTACTCTATGCTAGGTATATATTCTTTTTCTAGAAGCCTATGGGACAAGAAGGGCTTGTAAAAAATACCGTGTCAGGCTACATGCAATAATAGATGTGTATACAGTATGCTGTGGGAACACAGAAGAAAATCCATTTCAGAAATTACAGTCTTCGCAGAGGGGGTGATACATTATCTGGGTCTTGGCATTTGAACGGACGTTGGTAGGAGGGGGTTGAAGAGGGCACTTAGAGTATTTCAGACAGAGGGAAGAGCCCTGTATAGGAAAAGAGGCATGGAAGACCCTGCGTGTCCTGGGAATGACAAGTTCAGAGCGGCAGGGACTGAGGATGGTGGGCCAGGAAAGGGGGGAGCCCAGTGGGCCGAGGCAGAGAGAGGAAGAAGGGCTGTGCTCACCGTGACGAGGGTTTGGCTTTGACCTGTTGGCGGCAGAGACCTTGAAAGGTTTTAAGCAGCAAAGAGGGATGGGATCCATCTTGGGCGTAGGCAGGTGACTGTCACAGTGGTTTGAAGGGAGGATTGGCAGTGGGGAGTCCCAGTTAGGTGATGGCTGAAATGGCTGAAGCAAGAGCTCTGGAAAGTGTCTCACCGAGGCCCTCACAGGCAGCAAACAGGATGAGGCGACAGGAGGAGTAGAGGCCACAGGACTTGTGACCAGGGAATAGGGAGAAGGAAGACTTTCTGACCCGCAGCTCTCTGGCTTAGACTATTGGCAGGGTGGGGTGCCCATCCCTGAGCTGTGGAGTGTAGGGGAGGAGCAGGTGAGCGAGATCGGTGACGGTGACGAGGGTTTGGATGGATTCCCTTTGAGGCACAGGCGGGGAGGAGGTAAGTTCAGGTGGAGAGCGGTAGGGAGATAGGAACTGGGCCTGGGGTTCAGTGGAGAGGCTGTGGCCGGGGAGGCAGATTTGTGAGTCATCTGTTCTGGGTAAAATGACTTTGGGTCAATGACATTTGGGCTGGCTCTTTGAAACTCAGGTGAGTGGAGTCCTCTTGGACTTCGTAGTTTAATGTTCTGATATATTCTAAACTTGACATCTCTCCTAAGAGATACTGTAAGAAGTAATATCATAATCATTTCATTTAAGATACCATTGATCGTAAGGCTCATCATTATTTTATGTAATACTAAGAAAAAAGAATGCTGCCAATTGAAGTATCACACAAAAAAGCTTTCTTGTCACTTAGAGTATTTTATACCTGATTGAGAGAGTTCTTAGACTTTCATCTTAGTTTTTTATCGTCCATATATAAAGGAACAAATAAACAAGATAAGTTGGTTAAGTATTCCTCTACTTCACACGGTGAGTCAGATTCTTCTAAATCACTTTCTTGCTCAGAGTCTTGATGTCTCGCTTTTCCAAACAAAATGTTGTCCTCTTTGCCTTCAGAGGTGCTTGTGATGCAGCGTTTCTTCAGAGGTACCCTGCTATAGTGTATGACGTTTTCTTCTAAGCCCCTGACACCCTTTCTGATTTACTGCACATCACAAGCAGTGACAGCTATATCACGTCTGCCACCTGGTCGACTGAGATTGTGCGATGCACCCTGATCTCAGATATGTTGACACTGAAACAATATGTGACTTAGAATTGGTGGAGTACGGTCATAAAAATAGCAACTGTGGGCAACATGATGGAAGCTGGAGGCTCTGAAAGTGAACATGTGTGATCCCGGGGACAAGTCAGTATTCCCTTTGGCCCAGAAGCCCATCTGCCTGGTCCCATGTGTCTCTGGACCCAGGCAGGCAGAGGTGAAAAGCAGGGCTCTGACTGCCTGGGTCTGGTCCCGGCTCCATCACTGTCTATCTGGATGATCTTGGGCATGTTACTTAGCTCCTCTCAGCCTCAGTTTCCTCATCTGTAAAATAGCCTCATCAGGCCATAGTAAGGTTTACATGGAAAGGCTGTGTCACACACTTAGTACAGGGAATAGTGCCTGGCACGTGGTGAGTGTGCGAGTGGTGCCTGTTGTTGTCCTGGGTGTCATCTGGTGCAGTAAGTGGGAGTGTGGTTCCCATCCATGTCAGTGGTATATACTCTTATCGTCCTCATTTTCTCCCCAGTTCCTGGGAGAATGTAAGCCAGGCTTTCAGCTGAGGATCATGAACAAAAATGGAGCCTTCATTTGTTTATTGTTATGTGTGTGTTCACTCTTTTCTGACCGTCTGGCACAATGATGATCCGATTTAATAGGTTTAACTTACTTAAAGAAGATCCGGGACTTGGGTCTTCTTGAATGAAAGTTATGAATGATACGTGGGAAACTCAGAAAGAGCATGAATCTCAGGCGTGATTGGCCTTCACAGAGCAATATAGAGATCAAGTCCTGTATTCACAGGGTTTAATTTAAAGTCTTAGTCGTGCTTGCCGTGCTCTGTTTTAATGCTTTACTGCTGGAATGTGTGCACTTGGGTTTCATTTTAGCTATTTTCAAGTTAGGGCACATGGGAGAGAACTCATAACGTCCAACAAACAGTAATTGCAGCTTATGAGAGGTTTCATTTGCACAAAGTGAAGTGTCCAGTGATAATATTAGCCTTTTGGATACGGCCCATAATGTTCGTAGCGTCTTGGGCTGCCTGTGTTTCCTGATAGAAGCTGTTGCCGGAGCAGCTGGAGTGACCCACCTGAAGACGCTCTAGAGTGGTGGTCTCCAGCATCCTTGCTGGCAGACGCCGACCAGGAAGGAAAGTCTGAGTGTGCATCTATCACATACAGAGTTATAATTAAGTTACACATTACAAAACGTATGCCAGAAATATACATTTAACAAGTTTGAGATAAAAATAAACATAAATAGCAGTTCTCATATTTTCCCCACACTGGAAAGATTATCTTGTATACATACATCTGATGTATTTTCCTTCCAGTTTTCTCTGTGTTCCTCTGCATATATATTTTTAGTGGCTGCTCAAAATTCATTTAGTGTATTATTTATTTAGTTAGTTTATTTCAGCTTTTCTTTATTATATGTTATCATGAACCTCTTTGTATCTAAACCTTAGTCTGAATTCCTCACTATTTCCTATGGGTTTATTTTTAGAGGTAGGATTGTTGGGTCAAAGATATGGACATTTATTAAGCTCTTGATATGTTAAAGATGTGAATTCTTTCCTTCACATTTTTTGCAAATATTTTTCCACTGGGATTTGCCTTTTGGCACCTCTTTTGCTAGAAAAATGAGAGGGTGGATTATGAGGAGACATTCCTTTGTAATAGATGGCTATCCCAGGCACTCAGGTAAAGCAGCCCGGGATAGTTTTTCCATCTCGATGGGATGGGAACATTGGTTCCATGCTCTTGTGTCCCTGTTAACGTGATTGTTCATGTCTAATTAGCTACAAGTAAAACCTTCTCAACTCGTCCTAATGCACTTGTTAAGCAGAATAACGTCCAGCAGGGGAAATGGTTGGGGAGTGGGGAAGGAATTCTCATTTCTTCTCAATATTTTTAGGAAAGAATCTGCATGAGGAGGGGGAAATATCCAAGTAGCTATTGTGTGAGAACATTTCCTTCTTTTCTCTCTGTTTTGGCCTAAACTAAACTCACTATTTCCTACTTGTGTTCATCATAATGAGTTTCAGGAAACTTAATTACTGAGATAGGGTATTACTTTTCTTTAATGACATACAACATTTTAAATTAGTTTTAAAGGTTAAAGCTGTACTTGGTACAAATGTGCTTCTATTTCTGTATGTTTCAGACTGCATTATAATGCCTTATTTCCAAGATTATCTTTCTTTACAGGCTGTTACTTTCTTGTGGGCAGGGTCTGTGTCCTATTCGTCTTTCCAGTCCTGATGCCTAGGTATCTAATAAATGTTTGCTAGTAGATGTCTAATAAATGTTTGCTAGATAAATTAATCAAAGTTAAGAGTAAGAGTGGTGGAGAGAAATCTGAGAGGAGGCAGCCCAGCAGGGTAGTTAAGGGTGCAGGCTTTGCAGCCAAACAGCTGGACGTGGGTCCTGGCTTTGCCACTTTTAGCTGAGGCTTAGCTTCCTTATCTGTAAAATGGAGATAATATTAATCCCGACCTCATAGGGTTGTTGTGCAATTTAACTGTGCCAAAGCATACAGTCTTGGCAGTATTTGTTGGCACATAGATGCTCAATGGATGCTCTCCATCATTAAGAGTAATGCACAAAAGATAGAGAGAAAGCACGCTGTTCCTCAAGTAATTTCATTCCATGCCAAGAGGCAATTAATTTTAACTTGTTTCCTTTTGTTAGAATGGAGAAACCCCTTTCTTCCTGGCTGTTGAAGGAGGTCATGAAGAATAAAGCAAAGTGCTAGTGGCAGCAGGAAGTGACATCAATGTTCCAAATAAAGTACGTGCTCTGTGCCACGTTCGCTCATGCGGTGGGAGGGGGGCTCAGAATGTTCTTTGGGTAATCTGGTCCTGCATTGATCCCCTCACTGGGCCTTTGTAGAATTAATATTTCTAATTTGCTTTGTTTGGGGTAAGAATTAATTATTTACCTCTGATATTCCCCAGTTAATGTCCCCTCAAAAGCAATGCCATTCTTTCTGTTTATTTGGGGAAGGCATAATTGAAAGTGGGGCAAAAGGAGCAGATAGTTGTTACTTCTCAAGTACGGAGACACTCTTATGCTGCTTGGTTTTTGCCCTGGCAGCTAGTATATTCCTGGCTTAGACGTAGTAGAGGCTGAAGTAAAAATCACTGTGTGAAAGCCCAAGTGGTCAGTCTGGAGCCTGAAGAAGATAGGACGGTGCCTTCTGCTAATTACCATATACCTTGGTGCTAAGATTCTTTCACACTTATCTTCATTTTTTTTGTGTGTGTCTGAGGAAGATTAGCCTTGAGCTAACCTCTGTTGCCAATCCTCCTCTTTTTGCTAAGGAAGATTGGCCCTGGGCTCACATCTGTGCCCATCTTCCTCTACTTTATATGTGGGATGCCGCCACAGCATGTCTTGATAAGCAGTGGTTTATGTCTGCGCCCAGGATCTGAACCCGCGAACCCCGGGCCACCAAAGCAGAGTGCACGAACTTAACCACTACACCACTCGGCCGGCCACCTATCTTCGTTTTTTAGATAAGGAAACTAGAATTTACAAAAATTAAGGAACTCATCCAAAATTGCTACCGAACTTCTTAATTGCAAGTTTGTGTGCCTGATGGACGGTAAGCCAAACACTGAGACATTGGCGCTTGGAGATGGAGAAAGTTGTATTCGAATTGGCCAAGATGAGAAGGTGGGAGCATGGGTTCTCTCAAATCTGCCTTAACAAGAACAGAAAGCAGGGAGTTTATAGAGCTAAGGGGCTTGGCAGGAGGAGCTTCGGAGAAACAAAGGGGTCACTCCTGATGAGCCCCTGGGCAGTCTGACTTCTGGGATTCAGTGGCTGCTGGGGGCCAGCCATCCAGTGATCGCAGCCTCCCTGAAGGCATTCTCTTTCTTCTGCAAAACAAGCTCACAAACCCTTAAGACCGGAGTCACCCCTCAAGTTAAACAAGAAAACAGCAAATTGACAAGATTCGTCTATATCTGTGTTGGGAACAAGGTCAAAAGGCAATCCTGTTCTTACTGGATATCGACAGAACCCTCAGGTACCCGGCTTCAGGATCATATGACTGATAGTGGCAGTGCAGGGATTCAAGCCCGGCGCCTGAGCTCCTCACCATGGCAATGGCCTGATTTTCAGATGGTTTTAGTTTCGTTTTCTGTTTTTCTAATTAATTTTAAATTATAATGAAAATAACCAAAAAATTTGAATAGTACCAAAGGGTATATGATAAAAAGTGTCTTATTCCAACTCCTCATCTCAATTTCACCTCCCCATACCTAACAGTATTAATAGTTTATTTAATCTTGCAGGAATTTTCCAGGCATTCACATGGAAAATGTGACTAAACACAGGCACATCTACATACCGACCCCACATGAGTGGTAGCTATGTATATACATATATATATATACATACTGCTCTGCACCTAGTTGTTGTTGTTTTTAATTGCCAGTATATCTTGGAGATATCTCCATATCAGCACAATGTATTCCTCTTCAGAACGTACAAAGTTAAACACTAGAATCAAGAATAAAATCCCTAACGAGTAATGTTTTCTACCCTGTGCTCGGCCGGCAGGAGTGTCCATTTGTATGACCCTTTGAAAAGCAATCTGTCACTTTCCTTTCCACCCATGTTTGGGAAGTTATGTTAAGGGAATAATCCTAGAGGGGGAAAGAGCTACATGCAGTGATAGATGTTAAAGTTACTCCGATAGCCAAGAATTAGATACATCCGTAAGTGCAGCGAATGGTGGGGGAGGGCTCAGTAAAAGCTCTGTGTGCCTATTTCTTGGAAAATTATGTAGCCATTAAAAGATATTAATGAGGGCCGGCCCTGTGGCTTGGTGGTTAAGTGCGCGCGCTGCGATGCTGGTGGCCCGGGTTCGGATCCCGGGTGCGCATCGAGGCACCACTTCTCCGTTCATCCTGAGGCCGAGTCCCGCATACAGCAACTAGAAGGATGTGCAGCTACGACATACAACTATCCACTGGGGCTTTGGGGGGAAAAAAATAAAATAAATAAAATCTTTAAAAAAAAAAAAAAAAAAAAGATATTAATGATAAATACTAAATATATTGCAATATAGAAAAATGTTCATGATAGAACCCTAATTGAAAAAACAATATGTGTTTGTACATATATTTTCAGCATATAAAATTTATATATATGTGGACAAGATTGCGAGAAGGTGGAAAATGAAGATAGTGTGTGGTGATTCCCACTGAGGCTGCAGGTTATTTATGTGATAAGTGAAGGCAAAGTTAAGAACTCATGGGGCCCAGGAAAGGTTCAGGGTGTGGAGGGCTGTACTGTTCTTCAGTCATTACAGAGGTGCCTCCTGCCCCCAGTCTGCAGCCACCTTCAGTCCCTGGAAAGCCCTCCCTCCTGGCAAGATCCCCTTGGGCTCTCACCTTTGGCCCACTCCAGTGCTCTGTGCCCTCCCTCCCTCCTGTACTCAGTTTCTCGCCCTCGGAGGGCTTGTGCCGTGTAATGGCTTTCACATGCTCGGTCTCCCTACCTGACTAGGACTGCAGGCTCCACGTTGTCCGTATCCTTATGGCCTCGGCCTTATCTAGGCAGCCTGGAAATTGTCTGAAGTCCGTTTTTCAGCTTTTACATGATCTTGAGTTTTCCCCCTGGGGTCATTAGCACAGTTCCTGCCCCCACTGGCTGTCCACACCTGTCTCCGCCCAACCCAGTGAAGACCCCGGGGAAACAGTGTGAAGCGAGGAGCCAGCAGCACAGACGCACGTTACCGTGGGGCTGCATTAGACTCATCTTGCTTTCACATCTGTAGGCGATCACTCTGTTTGATCTTGTGACGAGTGCTTTGATTCACCTGTGACATTGCTTAGTCTCGTCTCCAGGAGATTGCTTTTGTGTCCCCACCCCCAACCACGAGGAGGGCGTAAGGAGTTGAGTCATTTCTGCGGAGGGAATGGGAGTGAGATGATGGGTTCAGTGAAGGCGGAGGCCTCCTGCATTTGTGCTGCGTGGAGAGGCTGCCCTGAGTCTGGGCACCAGGCTCTCCTCTGGGCCCTACTGACTGCCAGCGCCAGGGGAGACTTTTGTAGACCCTAGAACTCATTTCTGGAGGCCCTACCCTCACGTCTTATCAAACATATTTAAGTGCTCCCACATTCCACATTAAATACATTTTTTTTTTTTTTGCTGTAAATTATTTTTAAAGACTTTTTAATTTGTGCTTTTACAATTATTTGGTCATGTAAATCCCCCAATGTATGATTGACTCTGATTTCTTAGAACTCTATGCATACTTGGGAATATGAGGGAGGTGAAAAAATTTAACCTACCAATGGTTTACGAATGTAATGAATATTTTATGAATATTACATTTAACAATCAATGAAGTAGGAGTATGTCAATTAAATATTTATTCGCTTCAATTTGGGATTTTCTTTTGGTATCTTGGATCAATTTTTTTTTAAGATTTCAGATACTTCTTTCACTCTTAAAAAGTCTGTAGGGGGCCCAGCCTGGTGGTGTAGTGGTTAAGTTCAGCACACTCCACTTCAGCAGCCTGGATTTGCGGGTTTGGATCCCAGGCACAGACCTACACCACTCATCAAGCCATGCTGTGGCCGCATCCCACATACAAAAAGATAGAGGAAGATTGGCACAGATGTTAGCTCAGTGGCAATCTTCCTCAAGCAAAAAGAGGAAGATTGGCAACAGGTGTTAGCTCAGGGCCAAGCTTCCTCACCAAAACAAAAAAAATAAAAGGAAAGAAAAGTCTGTAGGCCCTACACACTGTGCCTGTGGTGCTTCATGGGTAAAATGCAACAGACTTCCCCAGCTCTTCCTACTGTAGGGTTCCTGGCTTTGGGTTCTTCACGAACTTGTTTCCGCTTCAGATTTTCCCATTGGGGGCACTTCTTACCATTCTTATCTCAGTCTAAATGTCACGCTATACAAGAAGCCTTTCTTGCTCACTCACTGGGAAGTGGCCATCCAGTCATACTCTTTTACTTCTCATTGTAGCACTTATCACTAGCTGATGTTATTCTTCTAATAACATCTAGAATCTAATAAACAGATTTATTCTAAGTGTGCTGATTTACGGATGTGCCAATCTACCCATCTGTAGATCCCGTGGTTGTCCACCCCCACTGGACTGTAATATCAGAGAGCTTGTCAGTCTAGTCCTATCCCCCACTAGCTAACATAGTGCCTGGCGCAAAAGTGCTCAGTAATTTTTTGTGAAATGAATAAAATGATAGTTATGGTTACTGTACACATTTACTAACTCATTTATTCTCCCAGTATTGCTATGGTTTGAGAGAAAGGGGTAGGTTGGTGTGGTAGGCAGAATAATGGCCCCCAAAGATGTTCACATCCTAATCCTTAGAACCTGTGAATATATGTTACATGGCAAAGGGGAATTAAGGTTGCTCATCATCTGATCTTAAAATGAGATTATCCTGGATTATCCAGGAGAGCCTGATGCTGTCACCAGGGTCCTTTAAAGCCAAAGAGGGAGACGGGTGAGGAGGTCAGAGGGATGGAGTATGAGAAGGACTCAGTGCACCATTGCTGGCTGTGAAGATGGAGGAAGGGGGCCGTGAGCCAAGGCATGTGGGTGGTTCTACAAACTGGAAAAGGCAAAGAAATGGATTCTCCTGAAAGCCTCCAGAAAGGCCTTTATTTTGGCCCCATGAGACCCATTTCAGACTTGTGACCTCCAGAATTGTCAGATAATAGATTTGTATTGTTTAAGCCACTAAGTTGGTGGCAATTGGTTATTAGTGCCATAGAAAACTAATATAGGTGGTTATGTCGTTTTTACAGAGGAGGACAAAGAGGCCCATGCTTGAGAGGCCCCCTCCAAGGTCATGTAGGTATTTCGTATCAGCTCAAGCCAGACTGCAGTCAGTCGGAGTGTGTATCCTTCCTGTTAGCATCTGTACCACTTGTCTGTTGCTTCATAACAAACCAGCCCAAAGCACAGGGGCTTAAAACAGTGTATTATTATCTTGCATGGCTCTGACGGTTGACTGGGCAGGGCTGGGAGCTTCTTACTTGGGGTTTGTTATGTGGCTATGGTCAGATGTTGGCCAGATCTTGAGTCATTTGAAGGCTTAACTCAAGTGGACGTCCACAGTGGCCCACTCCCATGTCTAGCGGCTGAGGCTGGCTGTCAGCGCTCGACCAGAGCACCAACATGTAGTGTTTCCATGTGCCTTGGCCGTCACACAGCACGGCAGCTGGCTTCCATGAGGTAGGGAGCAGAAACTGCCAGGCCAGTTAGGGGCCACACTGGGAACTGGCACACTGTCACTTCTGCCGTATTCTGTTGGTCAAAGCAGTTACAGGGTCCCCTCAGATTCAACGAGGTGAAGAAATAAACCCCACTGCTTGATGGGGAAGTGGCACGGTCATATTGCAGAAGAGCATGTGGGGTGGGAGATACTTATGCAGCCCTTTTAGGAAAACCTTATATCCTACAGCATCCTTATTTGGAGGACCTGAAAATACTCTGTAGCAATCTTAGAATTAATCAGTAAGTAACTGTTCACTGACCTTGTATTATTGCAAGGCACCGTGCTAGGCCTTTTGGAGGATGGCAGGATGATCGAGAGCAGGCGCTGACCTAAAGCGGTTTGCCATGTAGCATGGACACTGGGTGAGGACCGTTGGGCACAGGGAGCAGTAGGAGGCGGTGGGTGCAGAGGGAAGGGGAGGTGCTGAAGGAGTTGAGTGACGGGCCGTGAGGGAGCGCTGTACACAGGCAGCATTGTGCCAAGCCTTGAAGCCCCGCCTTCAAAGGGAGACTGCTGTCAGGAGGCGTTTCTTGGGGCCAATACCAAGCCAGCTGGTGTGGCACAAGGAGGGGGTTTGCAGGGTGTATAGCGAGAAGACTTGGTCCTAGTCCACTTCACACCTCCGAAGAAGGGAAACAGAGATTTAACTCATATTTGCCTGGGGCACGTGTTACCTAGGACTTTGACTCTTTTATGGGAGACACTTAGAAGCAACAAAGAGCCCCCCAAAATAATTAGAAACACGATGGATTTTCTTTTTTAAATAGTCATACTATTTCATAGCATTGATTGACTACCATGTGCTGAACAGCAGAAAGCATGGTGGATTCTAATGGGGATCCTTCCCTGCCCTCTCCACCTGTCTCTTGCAGCTCAACATCAGTGCTTTGCAGATAGCAATGCAGAATGGCCACGCATCCCTTGTTAGCTTTCTTCTCCATGAGAACGTGGATCTGCGCCAGAAGGTGGAAGTGAGTCTCTTCTCATAACTCGGCCTTTGATCTGGCTCTGTGAGGATGGCTGAGTGGGAGATGCTCCTCACAGATACCTGGGGGGATGAGGTATTCACAAAGGAGGAATTCTTTCTGGGAAGGCAGACCAACTTCTGTTGGAGACTGAGACTTAATCTTGAGAAATAAAATCCGAGGGATGAATTTTAGAAAGTCACTGAAGTTCATGAACAGAATGAAATCTTTGTAAGTATTGATATTTGCTGCATGAAAACTTTCTCGTGTCTAGGGGTGCCATTATTCTTTTATTAAATTTATCAGTCTGGGAAAATGATGAAGCTGCTGTGAATAGGAAGGAGAATGGTAATTTTTTCCCCCTTCACTGAGCGATCTTGTTTTTCTTTTGAAAGTCAATCCTTGAGGCTGATTTAGGTTTTCCAAAGTTTGAATTGGCTTTGGTAGAATTAACAAAGGCCCTCTGTGCTGGAATTAGATGGGAAACAGTCCTCTGATTCTCAGTCTATTTTCATTTCTCCTGTGAGAATATTATTTCCTCTGGTCTTGCTTAGCCATTACTATTTATTGTGTTAACTCAAGAGAAGGGATGAGACTTGAACCATGGCTGGTAGTTTTTGGAGAATGGCGTTGGGGAAATTGGCTCTGAACTTGCCTGGTTCATCCAAGGATGCATCCTGTTTCTCAGGAGGGGCTGGGCCCCAGCAAGGCTGGTGGTCCCAGCAGGAAGGACACTGCCCACTTCCTTGGGACGTGGGATGCTTTCTCTTTTTACATGCTTAGTGCCTCAAGAGAGAAGCTTCTTCCTGAGCAGAAGAGGCTGCACAGAAAGCCTTCCCCTCACGCTGCCCCTCCAGCCCTGTCTGCCTCTCCTTTCTCTTGCCCACCCTTGGACAATCTGACTTACCCAGCCATGGTGTCCTCCCTGCCCCTCCTCTCTTCCTCTGTGTGCTGGTACACCCTTGCCAACTCACTACATCTCTCTTCCATCAATCTACCCTTGTCTCCTGGGAAGGAGCCTGGTGCCCCTGTCGGAGTCAGGAAGATCTGGGTTCAAATCCTGTCTCTGCTGCTTCCTAGCTGCGATGCTTTGTGGAGGTTGTTTCATCTCTCTGTGCCTCACATGTGAAGTGGGGCGTAGAAGACCTAACTGCTGGGGTTATTGTGAATGAAATGCTATTGCCTAGTGTTTAAATCAGAGGAGACACCACTGGGACATACATCACTGCTGCGTATTAATATCGTCTATTCCACTGAGCACCACTGCCCCCGTCCTCTTCACCCTCTCTAGTATCATCCGTCCCGCTGGAGCACCACTGCCCCCGTCCTCTTCACCCTCTCTAGGATCATCCGTCCCGCTGGAGCACCACTGCCCGCCGTCCTCGTCTCTCACCCTTGCTCACCTGTCCCTACTGTTTGCTTGCAGCTCAACAGCTGTTTGCACGTTGGCACTGGGTCTCCCGCCCTTGCTCTTGCACACCTCTCCCTCTGTACATCTCCTCCCCACTGGACGCCCCTCACCTCACTCTCATGCCTTGACTGTATTCTCCCCTCCTTTTTTTCCCTCTCAGTTGCCTTCTCTCTTGCCTCCACCGGCCAGTGGCAGCAGGGGGAGTGGGGCAGTAGGAGGGTAAGTGTGTGATTGTGGTGGGGGGTCCTGCAGCCTGGCAGGCTGGGTAAGAAGCCCACGATGGAGGTGGGTAAGAGCGTGGCATGTGGCTGGAAGACAGGCGTTCTATCCTGGAACAAGGAGGAAAGGGAAGCAGGCTTCAAGAGCTTGGTAAACACACTGTGGCTGGACTCTGTGTAGGTGGGAGGGCTGACCTCGAGAACAGTGCCCCTGGATGAGTGGGGCGTTAGTCCCACAACATGCTCTAGGGAGAAAGAGCTCTAGATCACGTCAATTCAGGACATGCTGAATGTGAATGTCCTCCTTGTGGCTGTTCCCACTGCACTTGAGCTCTTTGAAGGCTCTGAGAAGTCCTGCGGTTAAGCTTATTGAATACTTTCTTATCCTTCATAATTGAGCTCTAATGTCAGTTCTTCAGGAAAGCCCTTTCTGACCTCCAGAAAGGTCAGCCCTCTCTCCAGCCCAACATGTGCTCTCATACCACTCTCTACTTTTCCTCCAAAGCACTTATCACAATTTGTAATTTCTATATTTATTTTGTGATTTAAAAAAAATTAATATTTGCCTACCCTACTAGATTGGAAGATTCCTGAGAGTGGGCCAAGTTCACACTGAATCCCTAGCGTCCTAAAGGAGCCTGGCCCATTGTAGGTGCTCATGCCTAGTTCTAGAAGGGATGATCACCGGGGAGCAGGTTTGCTGCTCAGCCTTGGGAAGGAGGTGATGGCTGGGCACTGACTCTGGGCCTGCACCCGCTGCACAGTCTCGGTCCTCGGGAGATTATCCGGACACATCTGCTGAAATGATTTGCTTTTTGATCTGAATGATGAAGCCAGAATCTTCTGGGTTTGAAATTGTCACTTCTTTCTGCAGCCTAAGGAGTCCCCTCTTCACTTAGCTGTTATCAACAACGACATCACGGTGGTGAACAGCTTACTGAGTGCACAGCATGGTGTTGACGTCCTAAATCAGGTAAGCTGGGTGAGTCAGAGCCCGGAGAGTCTGTTTTTTCATGTTGCTACGCAGTGCGTGTTAGGGGTAGTTTTGATCAAGTTCAAGTTCCCTGAAAATTCCTGGGAGGAATATGCACACTCTTTTTTATCCTTTTTCTTCTGTCACCCTCACTCCCACTCATGCACACATACTTTGTCTTTTTCAGGCACACAGCTGGGGTTCGGCCAGTGTGTTATTCAACTTCACATTTAACAGGCCCTGCACTTCTGAGAGATAAATAGTAGCTCAGAGGTAAATTGCCAGAGGCTCTTTAAATCAAAAGCCACTTCTCCCAGGTGAAGTGTTGTAATTGGCAGAGAGCCCCTGCTATAAGAAGGAAACTTTGTTTCTATATTAGAGACTAAATGTGTCTTCCGTTTGCCCAAAGGCAAAGAGACCTCTTGGAATAAAAAAATCACCATGAGGGGTGGGCCCGGTGGCGAAGTGGTTAAGTGCATGCACTCCACTTTGGCGGCCTGGGGTTCGCAGGTTCGGATCCTGGGCGCGGACCTATGTACCGCTCATCAAGCCATGCTGTGGCGGCGTCCCATATAAAGTAGAGGAAGATGGGCATGGATGTTAGCCCAGGGCCAATCTTTCTCAGCAAAAAAAGAGGAGGATTGGCAATGGATGTTAGCTGAGGGCTGATCTTCCTCACAAAACAAAAACAAACGCCATAATTCAGTTTGCTGGAGCAGAGCCAAATGCCGCGTAAAAGGAATCCTTCACTGGCTGGACATGGACATGCTGAGGTGGAGACTAAAGAGGATGGGTGTGGGCGCTGTCTGATGGGGGCCTGCTCCCCGGCCTGAGCCGCCCTCCTCCAGGAGCTGTCGGGGGTCAGAGGAGCCTTTCCGGAGTCCTGAGGGCGTGAGAACTCCGGATCCTCCCGCCTGTCCGGCTGCCTCTTCCCGGGAGGCCTCAGCTGTGTCCCCAGGTGAGGGAGCAGCCGCGGTGCCTTGGGCGCCTGTCCTGACCCACTGGATCCCCGCGGTTTCCGTGGGGGAGCCCAGAGCACTGGCTCCGACCTCTGCAGGCCCCTCCACCTCCCGCCTGTGAGCTCCTTTGTGCCCCAGCCAAGTGGAGACGCACCCCCACTTTTGCCCCTCCCTTCTGCCAGGGACCTTCCTCCCCCATCTTTTACTCTCTGAAAGTTTGGGGGAAAGACCCCTCTTGTTGTTAAATATACTTATGTGTTCAACTATGTTAATGCCCCATTTCTTTCCTAATGGGCAGAATCTTTGCTCCATGCAATTTCGGTTTCGCCAGAGTTGGCTAGATCCACTCCAGAGAATGAGGGTTTGTTAGGCTGCCATCTGGTTATAGAACTAGACTACAGCATTTCAATTTTTTGTTAGACCAGGAATACACTCAATGTATAAAAATAAGAGAACATAAATAAGCTAAAAACTTACCATTTGTTTGTAATCCCCCAAAGATAACTCTTGTTAATGTTTTGGTGCGTTTCCTGCCTTCTAGACTTATAGCAGCATTGTCAAGATGGGATTTTGTTGGTACCTGATGTATTCCACTTGTGTCTGTTCCGTGTTGGTATAGACCTTTGATGGATTTGTTGCGTAACTGTGACATCTTGGATAATGAGCCCCCATTGCCACCCAAAAGTGTGTCTTTAATAAATGCTTTTTTTTTTTTTTTTGGTGAGGTGATCAGCCCTGTGCTAACATCTGCCAATCCTCCTCTTTTTTTGCTGAGGAAGACTGGCCCTGGGCCAACATCTGTGCCCATCTTCCTCCACTTTACATGGGACGCTGCCACAGCATGGCTTGCCAAGCAGCATGTCGATGCGCGCCCGGGATCGGAACCGGCGAACCCCTGACCTCCACAGCGGAGCGCGCGCACTTAACCGCTTGCACCACTGGGCCGGCCCCAATAAATGCTTTTTTGATATTAATTATACTAACACCCCAAGCAGGTTGGCCCTATGCTCTGGTAGGAAGAGTCCTGGGCTAGATGCTGTTGCCTTGCTGTGTGGCCAGGGGGAAGTTGCTTCCTCTCTCTGGTTTGGGGGTTGGGCTAGATCATAACCAATGTTCCTTTCTGTCCTAATATTTTAGGAATGTCTTCACGTCAGCGTTCCTTTAGGTGGGAGGTTAAGATGGGTGATTTTTTTGTGTTTTTATGTGTTTCTTTGGAAACACTCTCATCCTCTTGATAGGAAAATGATTATTCCAGAAAGAAATTAGAAGTCTTGCACTCCATTATACTTTATAATGTAGGAAATTTACAAAATAGAGAAAAGCATCAAGAGGCAATAAAAATAACCTCTAATTCCTCTATCAAGACATTATCGTTCTTGGGCAAGCCCTAATGGCCTAATGGTTAAATTTAGCATGCTCTGCTTCAGTGGCCTGGGTTTGGTTCCCGGGCGCGGACCTACACCACTCGTCTGTTAGTGGCCATGCTCTGGTGGCAGCTCACATACAAAAAGAGGAAGATTGGCAGTGGATGTTAGCTCAGGGCAAATCTTTCTCAGCAAAAAAAAAAAAAAAAAATCATTCTTAATATCATTGATGTATTTCCTTCTCTGTCTATATAAATATTTATGTATAAATTGAGCTCAGATAGATATAGTGTTGTTTCCTAAGGTTTTTAATGTTATATCATAAGCATTTTTTGTTTTTAAAAATAATCCTTGAATTCATTTTTTATTGTGGTAAAATACACATAACATAAAATTTACCATTTTAACCATTTTTAACTGTACAGTTCAGTGGCATTAAATACGTTCATATTGTTGTGCAACCATCATTACCATCCATCTCCAGAACTTTTTTCATCTTCCCAAGCTGAGACTCCAGACTCATTAAACAATAACTCCGTATTCCCTGTCCCCCAGCCCCTGGCAACCACCCTTATACTTTCTGTCTCTATGAGCTTGACTATCTAGGTACTTCATACTGAAATCATTTTTAAAAAATCATTTTTAATGCTTGCCTACTGATTCAATGTGTGGATATACCATAATTTATCTGAGTCTCCTTGTTAAACATGTAACTTCCTTTCAATTTTTCACTGTTATAAATAACACTGCAATGAACGTCCCCTGAACCTATTTAAAAATATGTGATCTGCTCTATTTTCCCTTATGCTATATAGGATACCTCGACTTTCCCTTCCTTTGTCTTTTTACTATGCAAGTTTTTTTCTCTCCTTAACGTGCTTGCATTACATTTTTGCAATTTCTCGTGATAGAGACGGCAAACTCCTTTGCATGTAGCTGCTGATCTTGGAAATGTGGAGCTGGTGGAAACCCTGCTGAAGGCCGGCTGTGACCTGAAGGTTGTCGATAAGGTAATTTCATGGATGTCACTCTGTTCAGCTGGCGTGGTTGCTGAGCCCTCCCTGTTGGCTGTGAGCCTTGTGTGAAAGGGACACACACTGGAGAAACCTCGCATCTCGATAGTCAGCAAACATCCCGATTTTGATTGAGATATGTCGGTAAGGAGTCTCACTCTGAATAATAAAATAATGTATTTTGGAAATTGAAATTATTTATTAAATTTTTGAAAAGATTATGGATTCACATGGTCCAAGAATAAAAAAATACTATTAGTAAAGGTTTGTGGTAAAAACTTCCCACCGCCCTTGTCCCTGTTTGTCTGGTTCCCACACTACCCTTCCATATGTATCCATTATTATAAATTTCTTCTGTTCTTTCCAGAGTTTCCTTATGCATATACAAGCAGACGTAAATACCTTATACTCTTATTCCATTCCTCCATCCTTTACACGGTGGTGGCATGCCTGTGCACATTGCCCTACACTTAGCTGTTTCCCTTACCGACATAAAGTGGACGTCATTCCATATTAGCACATGGAGAGTTTCTCCAGTCTCTTTATAGAGCACAGTAATAGACTGTGGTATGGACATATAATTTACTTAGTCCTCAACTGCTGGGCAGTTAGGTTGCCGTAAGCTTTTGCTATTATAAACAGACTGCCGTGAATAAACTTACACACATGTCTAAAGTTGTTTTTTTAATTGATTAAAAAAATTTCAAATATATTTGTAAAATATACATAATATAAACTGTACCATCTGAACCACTTTTAAGCATGCAGTTCAGTGGTGCTGAGTGTATCCACATTGTTATGCAACTGCTCTCCAGAGTTTTTTAATCTTGCAAAATGGTAAACAACAGCTACTCACTTCCTCCTCCCCCAGCTGCTGGCAACCACCGTCTACTTTCTGTCTCTATGAATTTGGCTGCTCTGGGTACCTCAGACAAGTGGAATCACACAGTATGTGCCCTTATGTGACTGGCTCATTTCACTCAGCATAATGTCCTCAAGGTTCGTCCATGCTGTAGCGTGTTGAAGGCTGAATGGTATTCCCTTGTATGTATATGCCACATTGTGTTTATCCGTTCATCTGTGGGTGGACATTTGGGCTGCTTCCCCCTTTTGGCTGTTGCGTAGACTTGTTTTTAAAGAAAGACAACTTTGTTTCTTTCAAGTGATGCAGTACCGCAGGCTCAGCCATTGGAGGTTGTGGGACGGTGTCCGTCAGGTTCCAACTTCCCTGAAAGGTGTGAAAGCAGGAGACCGCTGTGCGGAGCCCTGTTAGGTACTCACACACCAGCTTATTTCAATCCTCACTTCTCTCTGAGGTGGTCAAAATCTTCAAGAGAAGATTTGAGAGATTTTGATGATATCAGAGTCACACACATAGTAAGAGGCAGAGCCAGGCTTCAAAGCGAAGGCCACTGGCTGTTTGGTTGTCCAGCGCTTTCCTACAGCAGTTGGCAGAGGTGACTGCTCCGAGAACTGGCAGTTTTTCCCTTCTTTGTCGTCACACACGCTGTCCGTCAGCTTGGTGCATCCCGGATTCCCAGCATGCTCTTGCGTCCACCCTACTCTATTTCAGAATCACACGTGTTACTTGTGTGGGATCTGAAGTATGATATGTTATTTTACTTTTCTGTGTAATTAATTTTCTTATGATGATAAAATTAACACAAGCCCACTGTGGACAATTTGAAAAACATAGGAAAGCATAAGGAAGGAAGACACCACCACCCATAATTCCTTCCCTTAGGCGGACGTCCACCTCTTCCACCAGCTGCGGCTCGTTAACTTCCTTATCATTTAGCTTTAGTATTTTCCCATGCTTTCCTTTTGTACTTGCTTCTTCTTTTTCATTAACACTCAACACCTCCAGGGCAGTCTTGTGGGTAGAGAGTCTGTAGCATTTAGCAGGAGATTCCTGTTGGGCCCTGGTGCTAGTGGACTGGATATTCCAGTAAACACTGTCAATGCTACAACTTGACTTTATTTTCAAAACAAAACCGCAGTTCACTGGTCCTCGCAATTCGATTTTCCAGGATTTCCCTTTTCCCTTTCCCTCTTTCTTCCCTGGGTCTGGCACATAGTTGGCACCCAGTACATACTTAATTAATGAATAAAAGCTACCTTCTCTACCCACTCCCATAATTTTTACCAAAGATAAGTGACTGTTTCTAAGACTGAATTAAGATCTGGATGGGGAAAAGGAGCCAAGGTTTGGTGTAAATTTGACTTGCCCAGAAACCTGTCCTCTCAGCGGGAGGCGTCGTGCTAGGTTCCCAAGGGCCTCCCCCTCAGGCGGGAGTATTTGGGTTTCACGCCAGTGTACGCTCCCTCGGAAGGTTTTCCTATGAGCTTGAAAACTCGGGCTCTCAGGATGCTGCCTTCCCAAAATAGGCTAATTACGGTGATTCAGATGGCTTTACAAGTCAGAATTTAGAGAGCGTACAATTTTAGAGGCTTGCTAAATGCCTGCAAAATGCAGCTCTTCCTAATTTCATTACTGTCTCTTTTGGTTAGAAGTTGATTCCTTTCGGCCTTAATTTTCAGGCCCACCTAGGTCTCAGATCATTTGGGTTGGCGCGAGTTGCACTTGTTGCAAATACTCAGCCGTGGGAGAGGATTACTGGGATAATTTCTGGATCCCTAAGCATAGTAACATGGGTTCCTAAGGTTGGAACTTCTGGGGTTATTTTTGATCATTTATTTTAATTATCTTCAAGATCCCTGAGCAAATTCTTCATGGGTCATTTTTAAAACAAATGAGAACCACTGTTGTTTGCTCGGGAAAAAATGTATAGATTATGCACTGTGTAAAATCAAGAGATGCTGCTTGCAAAGCTGTGTGTCCTCCTGGCTTTGAGCTCTGTCTGTCTTGAGAAAGGTGTGCCTTTTTGCAATTTGTATAAGGTACCATATGGGCTCCAGGCAGCTCAGGCCCCAAATAATGTCCAGAGCAGCCTTTCATTGCTCATTCCGTTTGGTTAAGATTTCAACTCCCCCCCCTTTGTTAGAGGCAGTATGATATAAGAGAAAAAAATCCTGGATAAGAGTCCAGCGAGCTGAAATCTGTGCTGTGAATTAGTAGTGTCGTCATGATTGATCTTGTTCTTAATAAGATCAGCCTTTTTCTGTCTTGTTACTTCACCCTCCTCAACACATGCTTCCGCTTCCTGGTCTAAGGTGGCTGTCCAGGCTCCTGCCATCATGCATTCCACTCAGGAGGAGGGGGAAAGGAAGGAGAGGGATGTTCCTCCTCTCTTTAGAGATGCTTCCCGGAAGTGGCATGTGCCCCTTGCATTTACATACCATTGGCCAGAACTTCAGTCACGTACCTCAGTGCAAGGGAGGCAGGGAAATGTTCGGGTGGTAAAGTGCCCGGCTAAAATCAGGAAGTCTCTTCCAACAGAAGAAAGGAAGAAAAGGCTGTTGGGGGGAAGGGGCGTGGGACACTGACTGAAGACTCTGTCACAGGTGGAGTCAGCCTTCGGAGGAGAAAAATGTGTGATCATGTTGTTTATTTGCTGAGGACTTCCCAGGGCGCTGAGCCAGGAAGACCCTGGGGGTCTTGGAGAAATGTTTGGGTTCTTATTGATAGAGCGTGTGTAAAAGATCGCCTGTTGATGGTGGGTCCCTAAGCCCAAACTCTGCCCCTGCCCAGTTGACACAGACCTGACACTATCGGTATCTAGCATCTTGGACAGTTACCGTGTGCCCTGCACAACCTAGGCCTTTATGTGCACCAGCACATTCTCCCCTGCCCACTGCACTGTGGAGTAGTCCTGGAGACCCGGAGAAGCTGAGGACTGGCCCAAGTTCAGCCTGCGAGGAAGCAGTAGCTTCAGGACTTGAGCCCAAGCCCCCTTGTTCCAAGGCTAGAGCTCCTAAGCACGAGGCCACATGGTCTGACACTTTCATTTTTAACTTTCAGCAAGGGAGCACAGCCCTGGCCGTGGCCTCCAGGAGCAACCACAGCCTTGTTGTGGACATGCTCATTAAAGCGGAGCGATACTGTGCCTGGAGAGAGGTAAGGAGGGACGATTCCCGCTCAGCAAGGGGCTCATTCTGCAGCCCTGTCTTCTTCTGGGGCTGTGTGGGGTCTGTGTAATTCTTTTCTCACTGTTCCTCTGTCCTGTGCTGCCCCATTCCTGGGACGAACAGCTGCCTCCTCCTCCTCTTCCTTTGCCACATCAGTAGTCAGGACTTAAGTGTGGAGAGCTCATTTGGGCCAACCAGCCCAGGCCGTGTCGGCTTTAAGGGGCCTCACGTGCCTGCCCCGGATGGTTGGCTCCCTGGCTATGACCTGTCGTGGAGTCTTTGGCCATAGTCCCTTCTGGAAGCTCCCAGACCCACATTCTAATGAGTGGTAAGGAAGTTCATATTTATGGTTTTGCAGTTTTCAGCATACCCATATGCTCCCTCTCCAGCACTCAAGGATTCTGTGACAGTCATGAAAGCCTTATTTATCTTGAGAACACAAACAGCTTGTCTCCAAGACATTCTTTCTGCCTTCTTTCATTCTTCCTTCCTCTGATAGCTGCCACTCACACAGCTTCTCAGTAGACTGCCCTGCTGTCCAAGATTCCAGTCTGTGCCCTCCGGCAGGAATTTCATTACCAGCTGTCACTCTCCATTTCCGGTGTGTGTTGTTGCCATCTGAGGCTGAATGGCCAGAATTCAGGTCCTAATCTCTCAAGTGTCTACCCCTGAGGAGCCTCGAGCCTGGATTGCTGTCCAATTTGTCAATCCTTGGCAATTTCCCTTAAATCCTGAAGGCGAAATGCTTTGATTTGCCTCCTTGCTCACAATCCTGTTTAACTGGCCCAGTAGTCCTGCTACATGTGGGTCATTTTAAAGGCCACACCATCCTCCTTGAGCTTTTCTTATTTGCCTGTGAAACAAAACAAAACAACATTTTTGTGACAACATTTTGTGACATTTTTCTCTGTTTAATCTCTCTCCTTCCTCTTTCTCCTCTTTTGTTTTCTGTTGTTCCCCCTGCTTTTTTCTCTTACTCTTTGTCTTGGCCTCATTTTCATTTTCTTAGATCATCACTGTATTTTATTGAAGATAACTTTCCCAAGTTCCGCCTTTTCTTTTGCTCTTTAAATTGTGTCTACATTTTCTTTAAAAATAGAAATATTCGTTGGTTTCATGTTTAATGCCTGTTAGCGTTTTTAGATTCTGCCTTCCTAGATGAGAATAAATTACTGTTCCACCAAATGAATAAGCCCTCTTTCCTAACAAATCTTTAAGATGTGAGTTCGATGAACTTTGAAAATCATATATAATGCATAAACATAGCTGAAGTAGACTCCAGAAAAGGTAAGAGATGTTACCCGGTGACGACTGGGAACCTGAGGTCTGGCGTGGGATGAAGACTTGTTTTTAATATATACCCTTAAATTTTTTTTTTTTTGCCAAATGCATTTGTTATTATTTATTATTCAAAATTCTCTTTGTTATTGCGTTTATATTGACCTAGTATAAAATGGTTCCTAAAAACGGTTAAAGAGATGATTGAAATTTCCTCTTTTCTATCCATTTACCCATCTACCTAACTATGCAGTCATCCATCACTAAATTCAATGGTTCAGAGGCGAATGGGAGCTTCCTAAAATCTGGCTTATGCTATTTCAATTTCCACCAGCTCTGGCTCATGTGACTCCTGCAGATAGTTCAGTGCTTGGGCGGACAAGCTATTCATGCTTCCACTGACTGTTGAAAAGGACCTGGGCTTTCTGCATCCTTGGCCCTTTCCTCTGGAAGCCTGAAGGACCGCCCAGCCCAACCCCGGAATGCACAAAGCCTGCAGGTTTCTCAAAGAAATGAAAGTGCTGTAGAGCACAGGGGAAGGCAGAGGCTCTTTGTGCTCCTCCCCTTGCTTTGTGGTGTTGGGGTTTTGATCTTGTTGGATTCATCATTGTTTCGGGAGATGGAATGAGGGGAAAAGGAAAAAGTGAAATGCACGTGGCTCGCAAATTTATTGGTTCCTGCACTCTCAGCCTTACCCTTTTGGGATTCCCTGGGAGGTAGGCCCTGTGGGAGGAAAGCTGAGCCTGGGGTGGAGAAGACTCTGCATTGTCCAGTCTCTAAAGCAATTATGGGTAATTCACATGTCCCCTTCCTATTCCATTCTGTGCACAAAGTCCAGATGCTAGCGAAAGGTCTGCCCTTCTCAATGGCCAAGCTTCCCAGGAGTCTGTAGACCTTCCCAGAGGAGATTGCTGATGCTGTGCAGGGTTCAGGCTGACCTGTGGCTGGAGCTGAGGCGCAAGCCCCACCGTGTGCTCATAGGTTTTGAAAACCAGGTCCCCATACACTTTTTTTTTCCCATATACTTTTTAGTCCACTTCTTGCCCCAGCATTGACTCTCGTTTTGCTGTTCAGAGTATCGTCCGTTAAGATTCACTTTTATTTCAATGGAAGACAAACATAGAAGTCACTCGGTGTAAGAAGGGTGAGAACTGAGGCGGAGCCCCTAACCTCCTGGTGGGCTGTGCGTGCTGCTTGTCCTCCACCCATGTGCAGCCTCCTGGAGTGGGCTTATCTGCAACCCTGATGGCGTGTGCGTGACAACTGCAGCGCTAGGAAACCGTGACACCTGCTTCCACTTGGAGATTTTCCCCAGCTTTTTGGTTGGATTCTGCAGGATTCTGGTGAATTCTGCAGAAGGGACAAAAGGAACCTTTGGAAAGTCAGAAAATGAGACATCAAACCAGGCGCGGTGCTGTTGGGCTGAGCCTGTCTGCAGTGGCTTAAAACAAAGCGATATGGACTCTTGTCCTCTCTGCTCCCGGGGTCCCCAGAGTTAGGCTCCTAGTTTGCAACCCTCACAGCTGCCAGAGAGCTGGATGAAGGGAGGGACCCGCTGTGGAGTCATGTAACCCAGTCGGGGCCCCACTGAAAATTCGCTGTGAGAACATCAAACACCCAGAAGAAGAAGGGGAGATGAGTTGATAGACTGTTAAAGACACATTTGCTCTTGTAACATTTCCTTGGCCAAGGCAGGCCCTCTGTTTCTTTTGGGGTGGGCAACTATGGATCAGCAGGCTGGGGTAGAAGCCTGGGGCACAGCTTGGCAAAATCCTCCACATTTCCTGACTCAGAGACAAGTAACATTGAAAACATAGTCTCAGTTATCACCTTACCAGTTATGTCTGGAAAAAAATGTATATATGTATATATATAGACTCTGAAATAAGGCAATAAGCAGAAAATGTCTGAAATCATCTGATACCATTACTTTCAATTTAGGAGCGTGGCGAGAACATCAGGGACCCATCAACCAGCTTTCCTCTGACATTCAAGCAAGATCACAGTCTGGAGACCAGACACATTCGCAGTCTCCTCTGGAACCTGGCTTACCGTCAGCTGAAGGCCAACGAGTGCCAGAGGTTGGCCCGATCGTGGAACTTTACCGAAGACCAGATCAGAGCCATCGAGGAGCAGTGGTTAGGTGAGAGCTGCCCAGATGATGTGGGCTGGCGGCGTCAACGTTAGGAACAGCAACTCTACCTGTGGCAGGTCTTCCAGTTAAGTGCCCTGTGCTCACAATAAGCGGCAGACTGCAAGAGAAGGGGACAGTTAGCTGAGGTCCACGAATGTGACTGGGGACTCTCCAGATCGTGACCACTTGTGGGAACCTGCAGTAAACTGAAGTTTGCAAAGGGTGATTACTTTCATTGAGCCATATTGAAAAGATGGCATTTAGCCTAGAAGAAAATTAAGGTTCCCAACTGAATGGGCACCAAGGAAGCAAGGATTTAAGAGTTGGCTTGTCACTGGGAAACCAACCTGATTTCTGCTGTTCCTTGAGATTGTCCTGTGGTGAATGGGTTTATTCCCTAACAAAAGGCTCACTGTTTAGGGCTTCCACTCCAGGAGGAATCCCTTAAACCAGGTCCGGGGTAAGGGGTTCTCGTAGGACACGGCCTTGGGGGAGACTGGCTGTCTCATGAGAGACACGTGGGCTGTGGGCTGCAGACTCAGGGCCGTCTCGGTTAGAGGATTCCAAGCCATGGAATCACTTCAGCCAGACTCCAGCTGTCAGTCAGTGAGGTCAGTCAGCTGGAGTCCTGAGCTTTGCTTTTTTATGATTTGGCCAAAACCTAGGAAATATAGAAAGTTGGTTTCGCATTAATCAACTTATTAGCTTTACAAACAAAGAAGCAAACAATTTTCTTGGCAAAACTTTCTCTTCAGAGCACTCTCCTTGCGTGGATGTCATGAGATGGGAGCAAGTCCCACGCTCAGGGGTTGATTCACATTATCAATTGCTGGGAATCGTAGATGGCAGAACCATAGCCTGCGAGCGCATGCTCCTTACCACACACAAGTGAATTATGGTACTTTTTGTTGCTAATTCTAAGGATACATTTTAATGTGAAAAAATGGAAGCTAATGCATTGAAAACGTTGAATATTGACTACAGTTTCTGAAAAGATTTCTTTTTATTATTAATATTTCTCCTTTGTTGCTAATTAGGCATATAGTGTTGTTCTGTGACGTCTTTATGAAAATTGAGTTGTCTTCTGGAAATCTCTCTTGAGCTAAAGAAATGATTTGGAATTATGGTATACCTTCAGAGTCCTTGCCCTCAGGACAAGGAGGATTTTCAAGTGGTTCGGTCCCACATTACGGAGGGCCCAGAGTGGTTAGTGGGCCACGAGGGAGACATCAGCTCCATAAGCCATGGTTCGAGTTTATCGTTGATGGAGTTTATTGTCTAGTTGGCATGATAACAGGAATATTCACAGTCCGATTATATTGTAGCCAGGGTAATGCTGCTGGCCCTGGGGAGTTTGTGACCTTTTGAGCAAAGGAGTAACACATTGATGATGGCATTTAAGAAAAATTAGTTTGGCAAATTAGGGAAGGAACTGGATTCACCGAGGAGTGCGTTCTTTATGCTTGCAGTTCACTCTCCCTGAAACACCTGCCCCTCCAACAGTCTGTCCAGCCAGCTTCCTCCCCAGAGCTCAGACCCTCCTTGTCCTGGCATCTGTCTGCTCCTGCACACACTCCGTGGAGCTGGGAGCCTGTCGTGTGTTTGTCACTGTGAGCTCCTGTCGAGAGTGACGATGGCTTCCTGTCTCCATACCCCAGCACCCCCAGCACCACCTCTCAGGGGTTAGGTGTCCAGTGAATATTTGCCCTGTGAATAGTCCTGGCCCGGGGATGCAGACTTCCGTCAGAAACTGGAGTGGCAGGATGAGACACGCTTGCTGCTCAGAGTGTGGTTAATGGGCGGCAGCAGCAACCCCAGGAGCGGGAGCGTCTCAGGCCTGCGCATCCTCACTGCAGACCCCTGACTCAGAGTCTGCCTTGTAACAAGATCCCCAGGTGAAATATGCACTTTAAGTTTGAGAGGCACTGGTCTCGAGCAGTACCACCTGAAGAAAAGCTTCACATTTCATCAAGACTGTCTCTTACTGCCGGGCAGGGACGTGGCTATTAAGTCTCTTATCTGCTCCGTTGGTCGTGTCAGGCACAGCAGGGGCATGACGAGTGCTGGAGTGACCCCAAACTCTGGTCACCCTAAAGAGACACCAGGGAGGGAACTGGAAGGGCTTTCGTCTACTCAGCTTTTTATCCAGTAGCCATCAGAAGAGGAATGAACTTGCAACTACTCATAGAGAAGATTCAGTTAGAATCGAGGTTACGGTAAGGTGACTCCAGCATGTGGTGTTCACCTCTGACCTTTTGTGCTTGGCGCAGGAAAGGAGAGCTTCCGTGAACACGGCCACAGGGCTCTGCTCATCTGGCTGCACGGGACCCTGATGACACAGGCCGCGCCGGTGAGGCACCTGTACGAGGAGCTGGTACGTGCAGGCTTCCCAGAACTAGCTGGTGAGTGACAGTTTGCAGCAGATAGAAACCCCGCCTCTCTTAAAATGGTTGGGAAAGTCAACAGAAATAGAACTACCCTTGACCAGCAGCAGTCCCAGCTGGTGTTAGCCGTGGCTCCTAGAGAATGTGTCGCCGAGTGACTCCGTCAGTGCTGCTCCCGTTTCCATCCCCCTGCTGGGCATTTGAAAAAGTATAGGAGTACAGTCCTGTGTCGCTTACCGACGGGGATAGGTTCTGAGAAATGTGTTGTTAGGGGATTTTGTTGTGCGAACATCATAGAGTGTACTGAAGGGGAACAAAATTTGCCACCCCAAAATGTCTCTTTAATGTAAGGATTATTTTAGGCTGATTATTATTTTTTTTTGTGAGGAGGATCGGCCCTGAGCTAACATCTGCCAATCCTCCTCTCTTTTGCTGAGGAAGACTGGCCCTGGGCTAACATCCGTGCCCATCTTCCTCCACTTTATATGGGACGCCACCACAGCATGGCTTGACAGGTGGTGCGTCAGTGCACGCCCGGGATCCAAATCAGCGACCCCCAGGCTGCCGCAGCAGAGCGCGCGCACTTAACCGCTGGCGCCACTGGGCCGGCCCCTAGGCTGATTATTTTTAAGAAACAAAAGACTCAAGAAGTTTTTCTTGTTACCTCCCCCTTAACTGCCTAAAAGAATTCTGATTAAAACACCTGTCTCAGGAAGTGAGCTGTCATCTTAGCACAACATGAACCAGGGGGTAGACAGGGAGGAACCTAGAGAAGCCTGTTTGTTGGGCTCCCCTCTGTGTTCTTCTGTTTCTGTGTGGCCAAACACTTGTTTTCCAAATGTTTGCTCCTTTTCACCTACCTGTGAATTGCCTTCCTTCCCTTTGAAGTCCCTGACTCTCCCCACCCCCAACATCTTCCTTGGTCTTTAGCTGAGGATGGTAATTAAGGTGACGGCTTGGGCCATCATTTTTGCAAGTTACTTGGTTTTCCTGGGTTTCTACCATGTATACATGTGACTAAACTTTTGTTTTTCTCTTGTTAATCTGTCTCTTGTTAATTTAATTCTTAGACCAGCCAGAAGAACCCAGAAGAGTAGAGGAAAATTTCTTCCTCCCCTACAGTACTTACATAAACCTAGATGGTCTAGCCTACTGTACCAGAGTAGGCTCTATGGGACTAATCTTATGAGACCACCATTGTTATTCAGTGCTTGACTGTATTTTTGTTTACATGTATGTGTGGGGTGGGTTCTGGGGAGGGTGAGAGGAGGGCAGGAGTGCTAAACCATCTCATAAGGTTATAGGATAATTCTTTACAACCAAGAATTGTCTTGCTCAAAATGCCGTTTTGCCCCTGTTGGGAAACTCTGCAAGTTAGTGTATTTGAAAATGTTATCTCTAGGTTGAAAGAAAAGAGTGGACAGGCTATTACTTTGCCAGCTGAGATTACTGCTGAAAATCACTCTGCCAAAGACCATCTTGTCAGGGAAGATGATTTGAAAACTTACCAGTAAATTAGGTGGTGTTATAACTCTCATGTAATAACCACTCAAGCAAAATATAGGGACATCAGCCATTATTTTCTCTGATGCCAATACAAGGACTAGTGCCTGGATGATGCCTGCCTTCCATGACATTATCCTCATAGCACTGGGCTGGTTCCCTCAACTTTAAATGCCTTTGTTCCTAAGAGAGAATATTCACAGGAACTCTCCGGGAAGACCAGGAGGCAGTCCACTCAGTGGTGAGGGCATGTGCTCCGGGGCAAGACTGTGCTGGCTTGTATCTGACCTCCAGCGCTGATGCCGGTGTTCCCGTGTATTAACTAGGAAAGTGTCTGTGTCAAAGGGCTGTTGTGGGACAAAGTGAAGAATGGTGCCTGGCACACGGCAAGTGCTTGATGAACGTTTTAGCTATTAATAACAAACGTTATCCTGTTTTTTCCAGAAAAGATCCGTCAATTCAAAAGCAAAACTGACTCGAGGCCCAAGAAATGTGCAGTTTCATAAATGCCTGAAGAAACGGTCTTAAATGATTTTCCACTCAGCATTCAGTCCTTTTAAATTCTGTGCCATAAAATTCTTCCAGCAGTGGTATTGATTTTCCTTTCAACTAAGAAGATGGTGGTGACGGGATCCTCTAACAGATGAAAAATGATATACTTTCCAACCACTGAAATGAAAATTCAAAACTTTTTTTGGTTTTTGCTTAAGGCAAATTGTATGATTTTCCCATTTCTGTCATTTGATGCAACATATGTGGTAGCATAATCTAGGCCTACTTTTGTACATCATGTTTTAAAAAAAATATGATGGTGGGAGCAGCATCATGGTATATGGAGAAAACTAAGGTTTAGCATAGACAGACCTGGTTTTGAATCATGGTGTTGCCACTTTTAAGCTATGAGCCTTTGGACATGCTAAATTCAAATTCCCAGATCTTCAGTTTCCTGCTCTATAAATTGGGGGAAATGTCTCTCTCTTGCACAGCTTTGAGGAGAGGATGAAGGGAGCATGCCCGTGAAACGCCTAACCTCATGCCCACAGCCTTGAAATCATTAACTGGTAGTTATTTCTCTTGTAAGAGAAACTGGCTTTGGAAATTTATAGTCACTGTTGGCTTTAAATAACACACGTGTAATGTATTACTTAGAAAAAACTGGAAGTTTGTACAACAATGTTTCTTATCGCTTGGTGATGTAAGTACAGGTGATTTTTATTTTTGGTACTTTTATTTTTAACGTTTTGGTACTTCCCAGTTTTTTTTCACAATGAACATGCATTATTTTTGTAATCTGAAAAAGTTATGAAATGTGAAGTATCAATTTATATCAGTTTCTGTGCACCTATTCATTATAATTGAAGGCTCTCCATTCTCAAATTCTGACTGAGTCTCTAAGGCCAGAAATAAAGTCACGAGTGATTTCAGTCCAGTTATTCTATCATGAATTTATAGTCCTACACCTTTGTCTCACGCTGACTATAAATGGCCCACTGAATGTTATGAACATTTGAAATAGGTAATATGTTCACACGATTCCAGAAAGACTTTAGGAAAGGTATTGAGTGAAAAGTTGCATCCCCATCTGTTCTTCAGTAAGGCCCTTTCCACTGATCTTGCTACTCCTTGTGAACGCCTACTCTTACTGTATAGTGTTTCAGTTGTTGAATTTAACTTAGGCTAACACTAACTACTTGGTGCTTTGGACAATATGCAATTTCTAGAGCTTGGATAAGGCTTAAAAAGATGCTAAATATTCTTAATCACGATATTCATAATATTTACTTTGGTTTGTCCATATGGTTATGGCTTTGGTATTGAAAACCATTCCTAGTTGTCATCTGGGTTCCTCAAAAAGCAGAGCCTGAGACTAACGTTTATGAGCAGCTGCTTTTTCAGGAGTGCAAATCCAGGGAAGCAGGAGTGAAGGCAAAGGGGAGTGGGATGGGGGAGGGAGAGCCGAGACCCAGGTGAATGACCAAACTGGCCACCACCTGGTATCAAGCACACGGATCGTCTGACTTTGAGGGCACTCTCTTCTGAGAGATGGGATGGACTAGCGCACCTCAGGACAACGCACACAGGGGAGAAAGGAAGAACTGACGCGTTCACCCAATGGGGTGTTAATTCCTGCTGCATATGAGTGGGCTCCAGGCGGAGGCTGTGGTCCCTCGTTACTCTCTCGGATGGGTAGGGAAGCGGTATGGACAGCACGAGATTAGGTGCTGTTGGTTTGTGCTTGTTGAAACCCACGAGGAGCTGTTTGCCACAGTGGTAGCTGGGCCAGAACCCAGAACAAGTGCTCCATAAGAAGGATCTAGTACTGCTTAAGACATGGCCAGACACTTCTCTAATTCAGAAAAGCCTTGGTGTGCCCATTGAGAAAATGGGATACATATTTCCCTACCTCACATTTATTTTCTGATGTCCTGTTAATGAAACCATGTGAGGCAGTTAAGAAAATCTACTTCCTGTAATAAAGTTGGAGCATAGAGCTAGATCATGTGCACATTGGAAGAGGCTCAGGTTATTAAGTCTATCCACTTCTGTTAAAGATATGGAAACTGAGGCCTTAGACGGATTCTTCAGAATCTACTTGTTTTTATGTAACCCATAAGTAGTTTGTGTAATAGGCAGGGTAGGCAGATCTCATTGTTTCACAGATGAGGATCCTGAGATGCATTTAAATTATGTGTCTGGCCCAAGATAACCCATTCAGGCAGCATAAAACCATTCGAAGACTGATCTTGTTCTCCTAAGTCAGTTTTGCCCATATGGTATCTTCCTATTGGTCAGCCATTGAAAAGCCTCTGCCCAGGCCTGAAAGGTTAGCTGAGCTGCCCAGGGCTACACACCACAAGACAATGCTTGGATGCTCAGAGAGAATGCTGCAGGTTCAGTGCTGTAGTTTCAAAAAAGGCAAGAAAGAACATCACAGATAGGATCACATTCTAATAGGAAATTTCCTTTTGATGTTTCTGTAACTGTTTTTGTGTGAGTAAACATTTTTTTCCCTTTTAACATTAAAAAATATTCATAGGTGTTGCCATTTCCCCCTAATTTTTAATTGCTAGAGTCCTGAAAACATGATGACTAATACACTAAAGTCACAAAGAACTTTGTGATAAAATATCATTATTACTCTTGGTCTTTATCTTTGTAATTTTAAAATAAAAATACCTTAGTTTCTATTAGTTTTAATAATTTTTTTAGTAAAGTTCTCTCTCAAAGTTTATTTGGTAACATTGGAAGTGATTTAGCCCGTGGAATGTAGAGAAAACTGGATTTATACACTTTGATGATGTAATCACGGGCAGGCTGAACCCGTTAAAAAAAATAAAGTCCAGTCTCTTTTTAAAAAAATTTTATTTAATTGCTTAAATAAAAAAATAACATTAAAATAATCCTACATATAGTTACAAAGGATGGAAAAGTCTCTTGTAATTTTGAAAAGATGAACATGATGTATCCATGGTGTTCTAAGAATATATGGAAAATTTAAAAACTAAAGGCTTTAATCCTTGGTAAAAGCAGAGGAAGGAAGCCCGCGATGTGAACACGCTCGTCTTAGTCAACCACTTTTATGGAGGGAGCACTTGTGAGAGGCTGGGTGTGAGCTGGTCTGGCTCCAAGAGATCTGGAAGCTGAGGGACCACTTTCAGGATGAATCGTCCGGGGATATTTTGCTGCAGCGGCTTGAGGAATGGTTTGCTGAAAAGATAAAAATCTGCTTTAATAATCCCATAAAATTACACATATTAAATATCATTTCATCATCTATAATTTCACACAAAAAACATGTGTTAAGCATCCAGGAGATATGAGCAACAAGTTGGGTGAAGTAGCCGTTAAACAAATAAGACATGGTCCTCTTCCGTAAGGCCCCACGCCTAGTTAGACTGGTGCCCTCAGAACCCACAACTGGACATCAGAGCCTTAGCCCAGAGGCTCACAAGAGAGCCACGGGGGGCATTCCTCAGAGGACTCAAGTGGAATCTTGTAATGTCTACAGAAGCTAAGTACAGAAAGAGACTTGGTGGTGGTTGGAGGAAGGGTTAGCTCCACACCTTCCCCTCCTCCCATTCATCTTTCTCCTCCCTATATCTGACTGTTAATACATGGAGCCCAATCCGGGGAACATGGGGGAAGCCCTGAGGAATCCAGTCTGGTCCTTGCTTCAAACTGGAGTAAAGCAGGTCCCTCATGTTTCACGTGGTTCACCTGGGAGCTGACTCAGCCTTTTACAGCCACACAAGAGGAGGTCTTCCCAGAGGCCTGGTGCTCCCTTAATATGGACCACAACTTGCTAAACAAGGAAGTAACGATGTTGAGAACACGTGTTGAGGAGGGGAAGCACACTACTCAGAGCTCAGGGAAACATCTTGGACACGAGCATTGAAGCTCTGAAGTCAGGGCACAGCTGACGTCATCGTTACGTGTAATATGTACAAGTACACATATGTACATAAGTACATGCTGCCTGTCTACACGTGTGCTATGTACAGGCTTTCCTATACCACACGCCATACAGCTTCTTGGTAGGCAGCGGCGGGCTGTGTTATCCAGTGAGCTCTCAGTCCGTGTCATTGACCACTACATGTAGATTCCTATTAGGGTCTTCCACTTAGGAAAGTCATCTTAAAATACAAGAAAAATTATATATATTTTATCAGAACATTCACTATGTATTTCAAAAACTCTATGATACAGCATTTGCTTAAAAAAAATGAATTAAACCTCTTAAAAAAAGGCCCTCATGTCATACTCTGCTTTAAGAATATGAGTTACTCTTTAAAGAAATGGAAGAATAACCTCCTTTCTTAAAAGTATTTTATATAAATGTTTCTTGTACATAAATAACTGGGTAACCATTACAAATGGGAGATATTTTTGCAACTAGTATGAAATTTTAGTTGCTAACCACCTGATCTGACCCTGTCAAAAAGACCTATTTCTCCTTGGGGACGATGGGCAAGACGAACGGTAGAAACAGACTCACATTACTGCTGGTTTCATGATCACAAGATTTGGCAGAGAGTGAAGGAGCGCTAGGAGCAAGCAATTACCCAGCGATGGGGCAAACGTGTCAGCAATCTGACTACTGGTTTACTAGGAATAACTGTTTGTGGTAGTTCTAGATCTTGATTCCTGGGATAAAATGAAAAACGGCACAGAGGACCACCATGGTGTCTGTTACATGATCCAAATTAGCTGGTAATGGAAGCAGTTTATGGCGCTCTAACTCATGGCCAATCACTGGAGAAGTATCGCACACGCTGAATAAGCAGAGGGCAGTGTGGGAGAGAAATATCAGGAACGGGCTGTAAGTCTTTAGTTTCTTGCTTTTTCTTCTGTAAAATGTGAATTCCCACCGTTAGTACAATAATAAAAGTTTGTCTAAATTAAAAATAAGCACACGAGCTCTTTTTGCCTGCCTTCTTTATCCTACAAATGGACAGTGTCTCTCCCTCTTTACACATCGTATACACTGATAAAAATGAGTTCATTTCTTCTCATTTTTGATAACTAATCTCACATGTTCAAAAACATATAGAGAAGTCATCTAAGGACTTTCAGAGTCCATCCAACTTATGAAGTCTAGGATAGGCCTCCATCCTCAAGTCCTCTATCTGGACTTGGTGTCTCCATCTCAGTCGTCCACTTCACCACGGTCACACTTCACCTACGGCTGAACTGAAACAATCAATCCAGCTTCTATTGATTTAATCATCTAGTAACCATCTAGTACCCAGAAAGAAAAGGATTTAAAATCATTCCATATATCTTTTTTGCTAATACTTGGACATACGAAGAAGACAGGAATGTTGTCTAACATTGAGAATTTACATAGAAGGCATTCTCTTAAAATCAATCCTTGTTGCATGTCAACTATACTTCAATAAAAAAAATAAATAAAATCAACCTTTTTCTCTTTAGGGATGTGTTCTTATAACTTATTTTAAAAATTAAACTTTTTTGGGGGGGCTGTCCCAGTGGTGTAGTTGTTAAGTGCGCGTGCCCCTCTTTGGCGGCCCGGGGTTCGCAGGTTCGGATCCCGGGTGTGGACCTATGCACCACTCATCAAGCCATGCTGTGGCGGCGTCCCATATACAAAAAGTAGAGGAGGAGTGGCACAGATGTTAGCTCAGGGCCAATCTTCCTCACCAAAAAAATAAAATAAACTCTTTGAGATAATTGTTGATTCACATGCAGTTGTAATAACTAATACAGAAGTATCTTGTGTACTCTTCTCTAGTAATTTTTAAGTTAAATTTGCTTATGGTTTTACAGTTTATGAACTGCCTTTATACTTCTCATTTAATTTTCACAGTATCTCATTTAATCCTGAATCCTGACAATGACCCCAGGACCCTTATCACTCCCATATTACACAAGAGAAAATGGAGGCTCAAATATTTTACTTGATTTGGGTATGATCACAAAGCAAAAAGTAGCAAAATTGAGGCACTAACTCAGGCTTTTTTATTTTTGCTTAAATTCCATGTACTTTCCTTTATGCATATGAATTTATTGCAATCTGAATTTTTTCCCAAACTAGAAATATGCTGATAATTGTATTTAAAAAAGGGGAAGGAGACTTAAAAAAAAAATTAAAAACCATAAAAGTAGGGAAGTGTTTCTTGTAATCAAAAATCTGCTACATGAACAGCTAGTTAACGAGTAAACAGTTTTTGTCTCTTTTTTAAATTAATGAGAAATCATTTATATATTTTAACCTTTTGACCACTAACACACTGGATTACTTTTTATATTTGATAATTTTCACAGAGAAGAAACAATGTTTCTGAAATTAATTTCCTAAAAGAGGAGAGGTAGATTCAGAGCAGGTGTGATAATCACATAAGCATATGAAAACCACAACAGTAAAAGGCAGAACACGTACCAGGCACCATGGATTCTGATCTTCTCCTCAACATGTCAGTTAAGTGTTTATTAGTCTACAAACACTCAAGAAAAAGACTTTTTCACAAAGGTCATCAAATGTGGACTCACCACAGTGACTGGATGATGTTTTTCCACAACGACTGAGCTCATGGGAGGAGAAACTCCCATTACAGCTAAACTGCTACTAACTCTATTTTTTGAAGCAAAATCACACCTCCCTGTGATCCGGGCCGTAATTGTCCTTGCAGCTTTCTGCTGTGCGGAGGTCACAACCCTGGGCACGCACTAAAACACACAGAGATCCAGTCGGTAGGAATCCTCAAAACATTTACAGTACTTTGGCTCTATAACTTATGAAGAAAATGCACAGGCTCTTAATTGTATATTCAACCAACTTTAACATGGAAAAAATAAATTTAAAACAATAAGACAAAACGCAAAACATAAAACCAAGCACCCTCACACACCCCTTTAACTTTGGTATATAAATTTTATAGGATTTTATGAACTTTTAAAAAGTTTTTATTCTGAAATAAATATAGAATCATAGGCAGTGGCACAGATAGCATAGAGAGGTCCTGTGTATTCTTAGCAGTTTCCCACAATGATTACAACTTACACAATCATAGTATAATTACAATATCAAAACCAGGAAGCTGACACTGGTCTAACACCTGGGTGTAACCTGGGTGTACACCTGGGTGTAACATCTGTCACTGTATCGCAGGTGAGGATTCCTGTAACTATCACTGCACTGTTCCATCACCTCAAAGACCTCCCTCATGCGACCCATCAGAGTCACACCCCTCTCCCTGCCCCCAGCAGCCCTCACCTTAGCAACCATTAGTCTGCTTTATGAACTTTTGATCCTTATGCATAATTAATATTATCACTACACATATATTTTGGTGTCCTGCAGCTTTTTTCTTATCACTTTGTCTCATGAATGCAGAGACCTACTACAATTTTTAATGAGAGGTGTTTATACCAACAAACTACAGTTTATCTGTCTCAGTTCTTTTCCCATTATATATAGCAAATTTTTGTTAAAAAGGCCTTCCCTTTTGAGAGTTATTTCTGTAGAATATATTGCAAAAAATGGGATGATCCTATCAAAAGGTAATGTCAGCTTTTACAGTTTTGTTGCTTACTGGTGGGTGATACTCCAGAAGGAATATATTTACATCAGAATTAACGCATATGTGTACTCATTTTATTTCACTGCCAATTAATAATTACATTAGCTGGGCAAAAATCAAAAGGAAGAAGAAGAAAAAAAAGGGAACAGACATTATTTGAAACACCCAATATTTGTATCTTTCTGTTTGACGTGAAGACAATATAAATTACTGGTTAAGAGCGCAGGGCTCTGAAGCCAGACGGTCACAGTCTGAATTCCACGTCTGTTACTTGTGGCCACGGGCCAGTTACTCACTCTCTCTAAGCCTCAATTTCCTCATTTATAAAATGAGAAAAGCAGCACCAACCGCCTAATGATACCCTTTCACTCTGCATGCAGATGAAGAGGAAAGTTAGAAGAGAAACGTCACTAAACAGCTTAAATATCCAACTAAAACCCCTCAATTATTCCAACTGGAGTTAAAAAAAAAAAGTGCCATCTATTGTTTAATCTTGTGAACTGCAATATATTTGGCTGTCTAACTGCCTACTATATTTTTTGAACGATGTTTCGCACCATGAAATCCTGTTGTTTTGTTTCACACACCGAGGATGTCTGCAGAAAGGAAAGAACTTTACAGGTGAGGACATTACTTCACTAGAATGGTAATACTCCTTCAGTTATTCGTGTCCCAGTTCTCTGCAGTGGACTGTCTACACACACCTCCTTTTAGGTACTGGAAATACAGAGAAGACTAGACAAGGTTTGAATGTTCACAGGAAGCCTCTGCGATTAAAACGAAGAGAAGGAAAAGCAGGCCTGGATCACAAATCTCTCTTCTTTTCTTGTTCCCAACGATGATGGTTTCACATTAGGTAAGTTATTCAACTAATGTGTTTGTTTCTACTTTTGTTAGTACGGTTCTTTTTAAAAACAGGAAGACGTATTTGAGGTGAATGTGAGTACTGTAATTATGTAAGGAAGGAAGAAACTAGCATCACACTTACAGACTGACTCCCTTGTGCGCTCCTTTCTCCCCAGCCCTGAAGGCTGTACTGTGTGAATGAGGCTGAACGTGCTTCTGTTTCTGAAGGAGTAGGGTGTGGTTGGAGGGGCCAGGGGAATAACGGCTGTCTACACAATATTGGTTTTTCAGGTTTCAAAGACTTCAAAATTATCTCAGGGGATCAAATTGTTTTCAAAAGTTAGTAACAAAGAAGGTGGTAAGCACACTCATTCATTTACTTCTTCCTGTGCATTTTCAGATTTACCTATAAATGCAGATGTACAAATGGTGTAGTCATATTTTAAGAAGGGAATTTTGAAAAATCTAGCTCTATGTATGTTGTCTGAATATGCAACATGAATGACAAACCAGAAATATAAATAAACACTCAGTGTGTTTTATTTAAAGCAGATCATCGGTATAGGATCACACTTCAAAATGTGCAATCACGAAAAATAAATACAGCTGAATTTATGTCAGGGTTGAATTTTAGTGTCTTATTTCTCAGTCAAAACTCCCTCACAGACTGAAATTTTTCTTAACAGCCATATTTGTTTTCAACCTCTTTGAATCAAGAGCAAACATGATAAATAGCAGATCTCAACATATTTTTCCCCCAAGAGAGTAAATCCCAAAAGGCAGAAATTCAAGTCAGCTGGAATACTACAGATGACCCATTGTCTAGTGGGCTCAATGCCTCCCTTCGCTGCAGAGAGCTGCTTAGAGCAATGACATCTTCTGATGGCCTGCCAGTGGAAGTGTAAGACCGAAAACCTGTTTTGCCATCTTCTTCCCTCTCATATAAGTGGCTGGGGTGGGGAGAAGAGGGCAACAAGCAAATCAGAATCATCTTAGGACTTTTATAGAACTATCCGTGCCTTTGTGCCAGAGTCAAGGAAGGGTAGAGAGTTTAAAAAAAAAACCCTGCAGAGGTGAGTCTGATAAGCTTGGCTTGTCTCCCTATGCCCTTAACTTCTGAGAAACGTTATCTGAAGAACATGAGTTTCACAACAGGAACTGGAGTCAGAACCGTGATGTGCTTTGTCTGTATCAACTGCTTGATTAATTCCACTGCAGACAAATTCTCACACAAACATGCTCCGCCCCATTCAATCCTCTCCCCATCCATGCACTTCTCTAATGGTGATTCTGGAAACACTACCCCTATCTTCATTCCAGTTATGAACTAAAAATGAGAACCTAACTCAATCAAGATGCAGTCACCACAGTGTTGTGTTAATATTAGAGACATCTGCATCCAGGAAAAGGGAAAGTTGTAGTGGAACAGAAAATATACAAACAGCCATTAAACTCCTAAGCCCTTGAAAATACCCACTAGCTTCCTTTAAAATTAAAAAGAAAGGCTGTCATCAACTCTTTCTCAAATTAAATCTATTTTTCCTGAATAGCTTTTGAAAAATGTAAAATGGAAAACTTCTTTATTTTTTGTGTTAATTACTACTACTGTAATAGAAATTTCAGGTTTTATTTTCATTACATATTAATGTTTTAGCCACTTTGTATATTACATATTTTCTGTGGCTTGGCCTAATTACCATATAGACTTTTTTTCCCATGAGAAAATATGTTCTGAGTTCAAAATACCCAACATACAAGCAAGTTGGGAACGCTCTTGCCAACGCGGCACCTGCGTTCACCGCACTAACCATTTCTTCTGGGGCAGCAGGAGCGGTAGGTCCAGCACCAAGGGGAGCAGAAGCAGGAAGGTGAAGAGAGGAGGCAGAAGCAGTCCTGGCGGGAGTCACGGCAGCAGCAGAGGGAAAAGCAGCAGCACTGGCCGCTCCCACGGCTGCTGGCGGCAGCTGCTGTGGTGGTGCAACCGCTGAGGACGCCAGAGGAGCCGAAGGATCCAAATGAGCAGAAGGTTCTTTCTCTTGAACACCAGGACCATACTCTTCCTTTCTATTTGCAAAGTCTATCCCTAGAAATCACAAATTAATTCCATTAAAAGTCTTCCAAGTTAAGATCACTTTTATCCTCCACACAATGAGAACACATGATAGCAAAACCTCGCTCCTAACAAAAATGTAGAAATCTGTCACATACTGGATACAACGTTCAGTTAATACAGTTCGTCAGCATGAACTGGTTAATGTCAACATCAACCACGAAAGCCTTCAGACCACTTCCTTCAACGTGTGCAAGCTAATGGATGCCTTGTTCTTGCGTACAAGATGAGGCTGCATTCTGTGCGCAGCTGGAGCTTCAGCTGCGTCAGGTGTGCTGCCCTCACAGTAACATGGTCACACGGAGCCTAAGCACTTATGTCCCTCTGCATTATGTCATAGAACTCTCCTGACAACCGGCCTGGTATTCAGATCTTCAGAATGATTTTCTGATATCACATCCTGTCATTTCCATCTACTGCTCCTATCCTAACAAAAACAACGTATTTTAATCGTGATTTTTTAGCAAACAAAAGATCAATACGTAACTCTAAGATCTTTACTTTTGACATTGTAAAAGAAATGAGTTCTTGCAGGTGGACTACATAAATCATGAATTCAGAACATATTCGCACACCTAACTGATTTTAGTGACACTCCACATAGTAACCTTAACCTTAGATCAAAGGAGTGAATAATATCAGCTTCCAGAAGTTGGACAAAGGGTGAGATATTTCGCCCCCAGTATTAGAATTCCGTTAAAATTTCCACTTCAGACTGTATCTCTGTGGTACCAAACACCAGGGGAAAGGTCTGGAAATCAGTGACTGAGACAGACGTTTCTGAACATCTGAAGAGGGCACAATGCGGCCCTGTGTTCACATAGTTTTCTATGCTGTCCTCTTCTTAGACTATCTTCATATAAAATACAGTAAAAGTCACCTCATTAACAAAGTTTAATGAGGATTATAATGCATTGGTCTTTTGAAATCCTTTGATGAAAGGGATTCAATTCAATATTAAATATTGCTTTTGCTTTGAAAACAAAGCAACACACACACACACTGAGTTTTAACATGTTCTTGATAGAAAGTGAGTCAGATTGATTCTTTTTAGGTGGGTGGCAGACTTATCTGATATAGAACCAGCATAAAGGTCAGGTCCAGCCATAGGATTCCCCAGAAGAGAGGCAGGGACCCACTCTCACTAAAGTGGCCTGACCTACGCAGTTCCTGTTTGTCAGATAACTCTCAGTTTAATAATTATGCTAGCTTTAACTGGGATAAATTTTTTCAGTTGTAAAGCATTTTTCTACTGTTTCTAAAACTGCTTTAAAAATTGGTAGCTATCACTTTAAAGGCCATTTATGTCACATTTTGCCTTCTTCATAGATAGAAACTTCTAATTTACAATCTATAAGATTTAGAATACTGCACAATATGAGATGCACTGCAGAGAATCAGGACAAATAAAAAAAATCAAAGATTTATTTTGCTGTAACAAGACAGGTATATTAGGAATGCTGCATTATTAAAAACTGCATTATATAGGGGCCGGCCAGGTGGCGTAGCAATTAAGTTCACGCACTCTGCTTCAGCAGCCCAGGGTTCGCCAGTTTGGATCATGGGCATGGACCTATGCACCGCTCATCAAGCCATGCTGAGGTGGCGTCCCACATAGAGCAACTAGAAGGATGTACACCTATGACATACAACTATCTACTGGGGCTTTGGGGGAAAAAAGGAAAAAAGGAGGAACACTGGCAACAGATGTTAGCTCAGGGCCAATCTTCCCCTCAAAAAAAAAAATTGCATTATATAAAAAAACAATTGTTTTAAGGCAAGAAAGGGGGCCAGAAGCAACTTTTTTCTTGTGAGAATTAAAAACATTTTTTAAAATAGCTGTTACTAAAATGCCACAAAACCTAAATATCACAGAGCAAACCCAGCATTAGTTGAACTTCTGCCTGTGGTAGCTCCACCAACACTACTGCTAGTGTGTGTCTGACTACTCCTGTCATCTTGATCCCCCATTGTTATGATAAACAAAGCACAAGGCCACTCGAAACAGCTGGGTCCCCAGAACCTGGCATTAGCTGCAGATGACAGCAGACTTAAAAGCAACAGGACAAAACAAATCACATTGTGCAATTATCAGAATCCATCTTCTCCAAATCCTGTTATGGATATTTGCCTGTAGGAGACATAGCTGTGTTTGAATTTAAAATTTAAGATGGTAAGTTTATTAAGGTGGTAAAATACTCTGTCCTAAGTCAATTCATAACCTTCTTAAGTAGGTTATGAGAAACACTTTTCTTGTAATTGCATGTAGGAAGTTCTTTTTTTTTTTTTTT